TGCCCAATTTAGTTTTAGGAAAAGTCAGAAAATTTCAGCATCGTAGCTTCAGCGGTTTCGGAGATATTCCCGAAAAACCTGAGGGGTGGATAAAAACAACCCCCCCCTGCCACTAATAGGGTTAAGCAGGCTAAATTAGTACTAAATTTTAGCACCCTTTTCGAAAAATAGCTCCCTGTGCCGGCTTATTTTAAGCACCCTAAATGGCTGCAACCATTTAGGGCGCTTAAAATAAGCCGGCACAGGGAGCTATTTTTCGAAAAGGGTGCTAAAATTTAGCACCCAGTTAGCCTGCTTAAAATAAGCAGGTACAGGGTGCTGGTTTTTGACATGGGTTTTTACAGTGTACATAGTTTTTACACAGTACTTAATAAAGACGGTGATGCAGGCGCAGCTATATAGTGCCTACGCAGTTTTACGCGAAAAGTGGACCACCCCTCCCCCCGCTCCACCTTCGTTGGTATGTAGTGCGAGGGTCCTCCAAGTTTAAAAAGTGTAATTCATTTTCTGTTCTACCTGACGCATGCTTACTACAGAAATATAAGAACTACGGAGCTTGGTAAGCATGGGTGTAGGAGCGCCAAAAATATTGGTGAAGGATGTCACCTGAACCTTCTGAGAAGGTACAGGACTTTGCCGCAGTGGAGGGGGCGAATTTCGTCAACCCCTCCTGTTTTTTTCGCAAATATCTCACGCCATTATCATCTAATTAACGTCAAATTTTCAGTACATGCCTAAAATTGAATTTTGCATCTTGCCATGAAATATGTAAATCGTAAATGAGTAAATCGGTCTGCAACTTCTTTTTAGTAACAGGGGTGTAAAGTCAAAAATCCCTCCCGAGTGGCGACACGGGCGGTGCCGGCCGATTTTCACTGCCGGCGCCGGACAGTTACGTCTTTGCGTTGCGCTGCTTACCGCTGCTAATGCTCGATTCGCGTCAATATATCATTGCAAACTTAAAAATGTACGAACTACAAGCAATGTTATAGTGAAAGAAATACGAAAATCAGCCGGTAACATTTTGAGTCTCGTGTGTGCAAAGCAAACACAAAACTGACTGAAACGCTTCCCGCGTCGGCTGTTCCCACCTCAGCCCGAAGACATCTTATACTTAGAAGAATTTTAACTTCTAAGTGCCATCATTATGACTGGATTAACTATAGATTTTCAATGTATACTCAAAAAGGTATGTGAAATCTTGTCGTGAGAGAAATATGAAAATTTGCTGATAACATTTTGAGGTATGGGCGTGTAAGCACAAAATAAACCCTTATCTGAAAAATTTAACAACGGTTGACCTCATTTGACCTAAAGATATTGACCTAGTGTCATGAAATTAACACACAATACAGTTCCAAACTAGTGGTGCCAATCGGAACTGGGACCTTCGAGATTCCGATTCTGTCCTCCAATGTCCAATTCGGAATTTGATTTGACAAAGGCAGCACGCTTTGGACAACATTGGACAATCACTTGCTACACCTCAGCATTTCTATTAAGTGATCGTGCATAGCATTGATTGAAGAATAGAAAGTTCAGCTCTCGATATGATAAACACTTTTTGAGCTGGTAATAGTTAGTTCATTAAAACCAAATTAAATGACAGTGCTCAGTGTTAACCCGCGCCCAGATGGGGTCTGCCGAGCAACGCGGTCTGATGGGGGGGGGGGGGCATTTTGGCCCCCCCCTCATATCTCGAGAACCACGCAACATAGCGACAAGCGGTAAACGGTGTTGGATAGCCCCAACGGGGAACTACCTTGTGACCCAATTTCATTGACCTCGGTCAAACCGATGACGTCACAGGTCAGGTCAAAGGTCGAATTTTCACCGTTTACAGGCATTTCAAGAAATGCGTTGTAAAATCGAGTAAAATGCATTTCATTGAAAATCATCGGTGGAGAAATGTTTTTCAAACACATATTTTGCTATTTGAGGTCACTGATACCAGGTCAGGTCACAGAGGTCAGGTCACTGGGGGGTCACAATATGAAAGTGTCGTGTGATACATGTTTTATGGTCCATTTTACATGACAAATGCGATTATGTGGGTCAGACAGACTTTAGGGCCAGCTTAGGTCACGTTTTGGTCAAGGTCAGGTCAAGGTCAGATCAAGGTCAGGTCAAATTAGGTCAAATTTCAAAGTTGATATTTTTGCATAAAATGGGTATCGATTAGATGCAGCTCGTCACGGGGAGTTCAACGGTGGTCTCCGTTTAGCGCTACGAGGTCTAGAATTGCTAAAAATTGAGTTCAAAAATTTGACGTCATCAATTTTTAACAGTTTTTTTGCTATAACTTGGCCAAAAAAAGAGGTATCGATCTAAAATTTGGTATGTATATCGAAGAGCGTAGGGACTATCACATATATTCCGGTTTTTTCGAAATTCGAAAAAATTGGAAATTTTTTGAGTTTTTCTAAAAAAATCAATTTTTTTGATTTTTGGGGGTCAAAATCCCAAAATTTCGAAAATCCGAGATAGCAGTTTTGTAGCGCCGTCTTTGCTCTACACAACCACATAAAGAACTTTAAAATTGCTTGTTAACTGTAGAATTGGTGAGCGTTTCAAGATGTCATGTTTTTTGCTCATTTTTGCTCGAACATGACCTCAGTTTGACCTCAATAACTCCTGACCTGAGGTGACCTGTGACTTAAAATTTTGTGTGAAGGTGTCAAATTGATGTCCGGTAAGGTACCCAAAATTTGGCGGCGCTGCGCGCCGCCGTTTTCTCGATATTTAAGAAAAACCACAGGGGGGGGGCCAAAATGGCCCCCCCCATCAGGGCGCGGGTTAATTATTGCATAGTTTTCGTACACCTTTCGGACCAATGGCTGGCTTGAACATCTTTGGATGGAGAGTCGACTTAACTACCGGACGTTGGACGGACATTGGACATACATTTTCTGCAACTGGCAACACTTTTCCACACCGTCCCCAACCACCCTATGAATTTCGTCTTTTTGACTTCCGTAGGAGCTGAGATCTTGGGGTGGCGACATTCGCTGCCCCCTTCCACTGGGCATAGTTCTCGGAACCCTTCCACTGCGCATGTTAAACGTATCTGCCCGAAACTGTTTCCCATCCTACTTCGAATACTATTTTGTATTTCACAAAAGAAATACGAAACCTAAAATGTTTGAAGAAAATCTAAAACCCCTCTGTATAAGGGATCATTTGTTCCAAATGCTGCCCCCCCCCCCTCCCCTAGATCAGCCAGTGCGTCGGTCTGCAAACTCTTGGGGCCTACGTCAGCCTGAGAGCCTCACACCTGTCTCAGAATCGCAGGTCGGATTCAGGAAATATGTTGGCCTTAGTGAGGGTCCCGTGCCAGTCCAAAAGGAATCCCGCGAACCCAGACTCCTGGGGTCTCTGAGGGCTCGTTCTGGTCTCTGACGACCCCGTGCTTGTACCTTCCTGGAGGCCCATACTGACATTTAAAGGCTGGCAATGCTGACGAAAACCTCTGAAGGTTCTCACCGGAATCTATGGGCCCTGGATTGTCCTTTACATTGGTGCCAAGGCTTACATAATTGTCTGAAAGGGTTTATGCTGATCTGGGTGCAGGTTCAGCCATCTGTCTCACGCGGGCCTCTCACACTGACCCAGTGGTCTGAGCCTGAGGGCCGGAGCCAATGAAAATGAAATGCTAAATCCTTGATGTATGATACTTGAGAGAGCAGCATAAATCCTATCTTACGAACATGAACTCCTTTGCGATTGACGTAAGCCGGTCATGTAAACGGGGCCGCTTTTGGACTATTGAGGGACCTAGATGCTACACACGAGTGCTCTTATGCCTAAAGTTATGCTCCATTGCTCTTCTTTCGTGACCAAAGTCCTACAAATTTTCCACGAGTAAAAACAAGCCAATTCATTTTGATATCATTTACTGAGATACATTTACACGTTTACCAACTTCAATTTAGTTTTCATTTTTACCTATCATTTATAAAATGGCGTGAATTGTGAGGAACTGCATAACGCTTCATAACTAAAAGGACGGGATAATTGGGTGCCTGTTGCCGTCTTAGCCTTTTTGTTCATCCCTTTTGGCCTTGCTATTCCTTTTCTTTAACATTAGAACAACCGTGTCCGTCGTAGGTACCTAGTCGTTCTAAGCATTGGTGAAGACCCTCACATGCATTGCTTAAGATTGGTGAAGGATCCTTCACCAATCTAAAACTTTGGTGAAAGCTATCCTTCACCAAAGAGATACGTTGCTACACCTATGTTGGTAAGTTACTAAGTTCTCAACACCAAAAGGGGCGTCTCTCAAATACTGTGACGGTCACTCATTGCATTCCCAGAAACAATGCGTATCTATTACCTATGAATATTACCGAGAAAAAAAATAAGGAGCGGCTAAAGGTGGCTTCATCCAACATTCTCGCTCATGAGATATGTGTGTACTGTATACCCCACGTCGACTCTTTTGCCCACGTCTATTGTCTAGTCCCTAATTCTGCTCATAGATGGCACTAGCGGCAACGCCTGGTGGCATACTGTGCCGTAGCGCTTCACTGATTTCCTTTGGTAGCTCATGCATCGACTTTGAAAGAGGTGTTTGAAATGTAAAATCTCAATGGAGTTGCATTTTTTTACAGACAGGTTTATGTAATGTTAAATGTCTGGGCTACTCAATAACCAGCTGCTTGATTAATATTTGAAAAAAACTTGTTTGTTCATACATGATAGTTTAGTACTGGCGTTTTATCATTAAAAGAAACATATGCGCTAGATTTGTATACAAATAGCTGAGTAACTGGCACGGTAACTGGTTATAGATAGCTATCAAGGAAAAAAAGTTGATAGAAACTAGCGGTGTCTTATATAAACTTCTAAAATTTCTCCCTATACTTGATTTTGTTGATTTATAGCGGCCCATGTTGTTTTTATTAAAAATATAAATAAAATTGGCAAGTGTTTTGGAAAGAAACAGTTTTCAAAAACAAAATTTAGGGAAGGATTTAACCACAGTGTATATAAATAGGGATTTTAATTTATCACAAAGTTACATGGAACCCAAGTAAAGGCGTTGGCATTCTCTCGGGATTCGTGTGTGGCTGGGAACCAAGATGATTGTTGTTTTTGATAGATAATAAAGTATTTGCAGTAGGTAGTTCTGTTAATTTTCGGAAAGGCAAGAGTGACCCCATTTCATTTTTTTTCATTGATTTGTTGTACCTGTGGGGTGAAGGAGGTCACCTGTCTAAGTCTCACCATTTCTTTGCCTTTGTCTGCCATGGTTAGGTCATGGATGAAGTATTCCTGGATAGGACACTCCCTATTCCCCAACACTAGCGCCGGCGACCAAGCGGCCGCCCTGGTGGCGGAGCTCCGAAACATCGGCGGCGAGTGCGCCGGCGGCCGCCGCACCGGCTTGCGTGCTAAAAACGCGGTAATGGAGGGCGAAATTAGCGAACTTTAGCTAATAAGACACAATTTCAGACACTTTAAACATAATTTTTAGTCCTTTCTTATAATTATTATGGCTCCATTTAGTCACTATCACGTACGGAATCATTACCTGATGCCGATAAACTGAGCCGGTATTCTTGACTTGCCGATGCAATTTATCATGAAATATCATCGTTCCTCGGCAGTCAAACAAGTTCCTATCGATGATTTAATACAAATATCAACTTATTTACATGTTATCGCATAAAACTTAACTTTATTCCAAAATTGGCTCTTCGGCTGTAATCACGAACCCTCACTTGTCAGCAGAATTTAAGCAACTTCTTAAATCAAAACTGGGAAAAGAATATTTCCATGACATTCCTCAATTCCTGTTCTACCTGGTTCACAAAAAATTTTCATCAAAATCGGTTATAGGTAAGTAATAAACGACAAAAGTATACAAAAAGACACGCTCCGCCCATAGCCCGCAATGCTAAAATGACGCCAGCGCCCTCGCCGTTGTGAAATCCGCCGCCGCCGCCGGGTGGTCGGAAAATCGGCGGAGTGTCCGATCCAGGAATACCTAATCCATGGTTAGGTGCAGAAACATTAAAGAAGCTATCATGCCTGGATGGCAATACCTATTGTGATGGTTCTCTCTGTTAGTTGTGTTGGGAGCATCACTTAAAGCTGAATGGTGCAATATGGCTCAAAATGTTTCACATTTTGATTTTAAACAAGTGTTTGGCCGTCTACGCTGTTCATCCACACACATCTTTTTTTTGGTGGGATAAGACAGAATACCACAGTTGGATATTTGTAAGATCGCAAACTGCAAACTGTGTCTCGGTTCTTTTTTATGAATACAATATGATTTTGGCTGACTTGTAGTGAGTTGCACTGCTATTATAGTATTTGTATTTTTTTTTAATTCCAGAGGCCCCAAATTCTAAAAGAAGATTATCCAAGATAGTAGTGACCAAATTCTAAAAGAAGATTATCCAAGATAGTAGTGAAAAGTACACTGATATTTTGTAGCTAGGTAGCTCTAACGGTACTCCTAGGAGACGTCACCCGAGCTGCCATTTCTACGTCTTACGTGCGCAGCAATTGTCTTTTCATGGTTAAATATATAACAAAACATAATCTAACCTGACCTAACCTTACCTACAACCTACAACCTACAACCTAACCTACCAACCTACAACCTACAACCTACAACCTAACCTACCAACCTACAACCTAACCTACCAACCTACAACCTAACCTACCAACCTACAACCTAACCTACCAACCTATCTAACTGGATATGGCAGCTCGGGTGATGTCTGCTAAGAAAATACCTCTCTAACCCCTTATCAGTCATTCAGCTAGCTTGTAAATAGATCAGTGGCATTAGCTGGCTACCTATGTCATGGCAATTGGCATTTGGCAACCACCCAATTGACATTTTGGCAGCACCCAGGTTTGTCAAGCATGTTATTTGAGGTCCACTTCTACCACCCATGACAGCAACTACTCAGCTCGTGATAATTATGATGGGAGGGGGACGGGAGGGGGGAGGAGCATTGGGGATCTGAACTCATGAACTGCAATGGGATTGATGGTATGAGTATATATTAGGTCCGAGTGGACAATTGTGACGCTGTCGATACAAATATGTAACAGCAAAAAAATTAGGTTTTAGGTTAGGCTAGGTTAGGTTAGGTTGTAGGTTTTAGGTTTTAGGTTGGTAGGTTTGTAGGTTTTAGGTTGTTAGGTTGTAGGTTTGTAGGCTGTAGGTTGGGGTTGTAGGTACTAAATAGGTAAGGTTAGGTCAGGATTGATTATGTTTTTTCTTTTATTTCCAAGACATATGAGTATCATTTTTGGATTCAGGATGTCAAATTATGTATGAATATGAAAATTTTATCTTTTAACAGTCACTCGGACCTAATGTATACTTTTACCGAATTGACAAGTATGACAGACAATATTTTGTATGATGGGGAATTTGGACACATATATCTATAACCAAATTTGCTTGCATGAAGGTCAGCAGATAAAGATTTGCTGATATAAATAAATTCAGTGATTACTTGGTTAGGGATGGGATGGGGAAACATTGAAGCGTTTTTGCTAAGCAGTGATTATTGGATAGGCCTGAGTGGTACTAGTACTGTCTGATTGCTTAATTTATCCCACCCACCTGCCACAGACCATTGTCCCGGGAGTTCCAAATGGAATGTTAGAGTTGGCCCTGGCTCTTACTACTCAGAGTCAAATGCTTTACCAGCTTAGCTATGTTAGAGGCTTTCAAAGGAGATGTGTAAAAATGCTGATGCCTAGTAAGAAATGCACTATCAATGTTTAAGACTTCGAATGTGTCATGTGATGTCAAAATGAATAACAAAGATTGGCCTTGGAATTGTGGGAGTATTGACAGTAGGCATAAGTATAATTGTTAATTGATTTATAGGATTATTGACAGTTGACATAACCATAAGATCTTTCATCCTGCTACTTCAGGTATTTTGCCAGCAGGATGAAATAATGCCATTTGTTTCCAGAAGTTTTGCAGGAGCAATTAAACAGACTCAGCCATGGAGACGGCGATGCAGGCGCAGCTGGTGTCGGCAGCGCAGCAGCTGGAGCAGCAGCTGGATGACGAGATCAGCCGGCTGGACCGGCTCGGCACCGACGACCTCGAGAAGATCCGCCGAGACCGGATCGCCGAGATGAAACGGATGAAGGAGAAACGCCACCAGTGGCACGCCAATGTGAGCGAGAGCGTTGTGTAGCCGTCGAGCTGTTGTGGAGCTCCTGATGAGTGATGAGTGTGCTTTTATTTTTTGAAAGCAGACTCTTTATAGGTAGTTACGCTTTTTTCTGGACTGTAATTTATTTCATTCCACTTTTATGTTTTGTGTTTTATGGAATATTGCCAAACAAAATGCGACTTATTATTTTCGTCGCCGTTTTATTGGAATGAGATATGCAGAGCCTGTGGAGTCCAACCTTGCCAAACTGTGAATTCCTTATTTGTATTTCACTCGTAAATGTCTACAGGGTCACGGAGAATACACGGAAATCCCCGAGGAGAAGGACTTCTTCGAGGTGCCGAAGAAATCCGAGAACGTCGTCTGCCACTTCTACCGTGACGACTTCTTCCGGTGCAAGATCGTTGATAAGCACCTGGCCATTCTGGCCAAAAAGCACATGGAAACCAAGTTTGTGAAGATCAACGCCGAAAAGTGCCCTTTCCTCACACGTGAGTTTTCTCCTCAATCTGAATGCTAAAACAAACAGCGTCCTTTTTGTCACAATTAGAACTGTTCTGCTAGTTTTTCTTGTTTCATTGATGTCCTAGCCAAAGGCAACATGCCTATTTTTTCATATAGTAATTATTCAAACTATGTTATAAACTCGCCCATTGAAACGGTTCTTAGTTATATATTTTACGGTACATTATTTATTTCAGAGCGTCTGAAGATCAAGGTGCTGCCCACCATTGCTCTGGTGAAGGACGCCAAGACCAAGGACTACATCGTGGGCTTCGGCGACCTGGGCAACAACGACGAGTTCCCCACCGACCTGCTGGAGTGGAGGATAGCGCAGGTACGTCACCCACTCGCGAGCTTTGTTACGATGGGAACAGGGCTTGTTCCATACACGCCCGCCGTTTCGCAAACCTATGTAATTGTTTTCTCCCGTTCCGTCGTGTCAGCATTCGTTTCATGACCGATGTCCATGTCGCCCCTAACCTCTCTTTGGCGTCTCCCAACCATGTCACCCTCTTTTACCGTGTCTAAAGTCGTTCCGTTCCGTGAGCAATAGGTATAACTCCCTCTCGCCCTTCACTTCTCTGTGGTCGTCCTTGACCGTGTCACCCTCGCCGTGTGTCCACAGGCGGGTGTCATTGACTACAGCGGTGACCTGCTGACTCCTCCCGACGCCGGCGCGCGCAAGTCCCACGTCACCCAGAAGAAGAAGACGATTCGTGGACGTGCGGATGACTCTGACACCGACTCTGACTAGCGAGTCATTAATCAACGAATGGTGACTCAATGAAGACAGGATGGGCCTTAGGACTAAAAATTGGACATTACGTCTCCAATGCTTTTATCAGAATTCCAAAGATCGAATTCTAGATTCGTGACAAGGCGCGTACGTTAAGCATGGGTCTCGTTTGTAGGGTAGCCTGGCTGATATTGGCGTCTATATGACGCAAGCTTTGCGGAATGCAGGAGAATATCGGCTCAAAGAGTAAGTTCGGTAGCTGCAAACTCATCCACAGCTCCGGTACTGGCAGTTTTATCGTTGGCAGTGGGAAGAGAATGAAAGAGCCTCCTCAGTTTCGGGTAGACTGGGAGGTTTCAGCTACTCTCTGGCCCTTGGCTCGTACTTTGTTGGGCTCACACTTCGGTAACATCGGTGAGGGTTGTGGTTGAAACTGAGGCGCATCAGTTTATCGTTACTCGAGCTGAGTAGCGCCGTACGAATAACGCACTAACAGGAGGGGCGCAGACTCCGTGGCCTTAGCGCACCGGTGGATGGTGGAGAAGACATTCCGTGGGGCCGCTAACTCGCCTTAACAGATCTTCTCATTTCGTCCCGCAACTTTGTGGGGGAGTCACTTGGTTTGGTGACACACGTATTCACCTGTGTAAATTCACCGTTTTTGCAATGCATTAATTTATAATACACTCATTGTTGGCAGTTCCTATTGTTTTATTATTCTTTTTTTCGCAAAGAGACGTCCGTTGAGTGACAAGTGATTACAAAACGCTTACTTCGAGGGTCGAACAGCACTAACAACGAGCAAACATGCTGCTATCGTCGACGTCTTATCGGGCTTGATTGGAATCAATGTACATTAGACGTCTTATCAGGATTGATTGGAAATGAAATGTACCTACGTCAGTCCATGATCAGTCAACCTTTGATTCCCCGTCACTTTACGGTAGCAAATATCAAAGCTTGTTTGAGTTCAGACAAACGGATGATTGCTACATTCCGATATTCGAAAGCACAAATTGCTCCAAGCCATGGGACTTTAGGCATAGTGTGCTCTGCTCGTCTGCGAGAAACTGAGGATCGTGGGGATATCAATAATGGCACGTCGACCTGATCTCATACAGTAGCTTGTCGCTGACTCCTCAAGGCCCTCTCTGATAGCGGCCCGGATCCGGCTGATCCCCTGATAGCCGAGCGACTATCACTGCCCCTGATATCAGACAGAACTCCGGCGGCCGCCGGACAGACGGCGACAGGAGCAGCCTAGCCGTCTGTGCCTCCCTGTGTGCTCGTGCCGGGGTGGGTTCCCCAGTGCTCTGTGCTCTGTGCTCTCCGGGACAGGTGGAGCCGCAGCCATGTCGGCTGTACTGGTGAGAGTTGCGGCTTGTATGCTGCTGCTCACCGTTGGACAGCTAGCAGGTATGTACGCAGGGGACGGGACTTCGGACACCCGGCTGGTATGTATATTGTATCACTCTCATGGATGTGCCTCGCCGTACCCTGACTATGACCACTGACCAGTGATTCTTTGTCAATACTTATCGGTTAAGGCCCACTCTCTCTCATAGAGCGTCACTGTTGGATGCCAAGCAGTACCATAAAGGGTTTTTGTTCATTGCTGATGCTGACCGTGTTGTAAACGTACTGCCTCTGTTTGTCTCTTGATATTGGTTTTATTTGATCAGGGGCACCCAGCTGATGAACTTTGACTACGCATTCAGTTGCTCGATTTAAAGGAATATGTATGACGTTTTATTATTATGGTAGTGTGAAATGTTATTGATTACGGGTGTACTCCATGATGACACTGCTTGCTGACGTTAGTGACCAAATCTCATGCGGTTTCACAATTCACCCCCATTACTCGGTTCCGAGGCTGCAATGACGACGTGTGACTATGCGTTTCAGCGATGCGGTGCTGGCAGTACACGTGGCCGGGAGTGGTCGACTGGAACAGCCCGATCGACAACGAGACGACCTGCGAGGGCAAGACGGAGCCGTGCATCGAGCCCTTCGTACTCTCCAGTAGGTGGCTGTCGGGGCCGGGGGTCCGTTGGGGGGGGGGGGGGGCATCGAGCCCTTCGTACTCTCCAGTAGGTGGCTGTCGGGGCCCGGGGGGGGGGGGGGTCCGTTGGGGGGCATCGAGCCCTTCGTACTTTCCAGTAGGTGGCTGTCAGAGGGTCAGAGGGGAGGGTCTTTCCTCTTAGTTGCAGTCCCAGTCTCCCGGTGCACTGAGGAGAAACAATTTGAAATAATTTAGGGTCAATTGTTGCACCGTTATTTTTTATTGACAGGACATAGTTTGGACTGAAGTTTTATCTAGGCTGACTTTTCTCTCTAGTTAACTTTATTACCGACCGAACCAGCGCGTAACGTCAATTAACTCACTTTGAACTGACTATCATATCTGACGTTATGGGCATCAAACCTGTGAGCCGCTGGCTCGCGTCGTCTTTGCCTTTGGCCCACCGTTGGCGTCCTACCCATACCAGCCCACTGACTTTACTGTCGAGTCCGCGACTGATCGGCTATGGTGTCACCTGATTGCAGTGAACAGCACAGAACCGAACATGACCAAACTCCAGGAGCTGTGCGAGAGCGGCGGCTGCCCTCCGGAACTGTGGTGTAACACAAAGGGAGGCGAGTCGTGCGTCAAATACGCCTTCTGGACCACCGATGTCACCACAAACGAACTCAGTGAGTGCAATATGCAGGAGTCGCGATGGTCTCTCTCTCTCTCTCTCTCTCTCTCTCTCTCTCTCTCTCTCTCTCTCTCTCTCTCTCTCTCTCTCTCCCTTTCTCTCGCTTTCTTTGTCTCTCTTACTCTCGACCTCTCGCTATCAAGCAGACCTGTGAACGATGTGGTGACAACCTCTGTTTTGGATTTGAACTTTATGACCGTGAGATCTTATTTGAATCTGCTATCGGTGGTGAGATTATCGCTTGCTCTGTTCAGCAAAAAGCCTGTTTAGTATCTACTAGCACTGCTCTCGTCTCACTTGGACTGTCGCTGCCGCAGAGATCGTCAACTACTCGCGCTTCTGCGGCTCGGCTCGCAGCGGCAACGCCGACACGGGCGTGTTCTCTACCGTGGTCAACGACGGGTGCTACCAGCAGCAGATAAATTCGTTCATACTGGAGGTGAGACACGGCGCTGTCAACGGCAGAGATCCAGAGAGGGCGGCTTAGAATGTAAGGAAGGCGATTCACGGGTTTCATTTCTTGTCAGTGTTTTCCGACATAGGCGTCATGTTCAACACACTGCTCTGTGGTTAGCCGATGCCGTTACTATCTTCAATACAATAGATCCCACAGGTCCCATGCAATAGCTGATGAGCCTGCTACCCTTCTTGTTGACACGCCATTGTTCATGATGTCACGCGGTGTATGACGTCACCCACCTTCCGATGGGCTTATGATTGAGTGGCTGTGGGTGGCAGGTCATCATCTGTCAATTGTCATACCCAGCTATCGCACGCTATGGTATCAGTTTTCTCAGAGCTGGTTACGAACCGATCGCAACAGCATTTACGGTTGTGAATTTCAATTATCGATATAGTGTTAGCCCATTTGTAGCCAAAGTTCATCGCATTTATGATCTGATAAGTGCTGACAGTAACTAGTATCATAATGATACGACTTTAACCGGATGTTCCTATCTCATTTCAGACGTGTTTCTGTCACGGTAGCTACCTCTGTAACGGAGCCAACGGTCTCAGCACGTCCGCGGGACTCCTGGCCCTCCTAGTGGCCTCTTCCATAGCGGCGGCTGCGGCGGGCATCTGGAGGACCTGACCTGAGTGGCGGACGGTCCTCCCGTAATCTCTGACGGCGCCGCGATGGTATCTGTGGTTTACGAACTTATGATGTGAAGACCGGGCCAGTACGTCGCATGCCACCGCGCCGGGTCTCGATTCAGTTTGCTCTGCGTCAGAACCCAAGCACTGGGACAATGATGGTGCGTTTCTTCTGATTTATCGCAATTCACTGTATGCAGTTTGTCAAGCAATGGAAGATCAAGTGACTTCTAGTAAAGGCATATTTGGGACTCCTCTGTGACAATTTGCCCGTTCGCTCACAGTGCCAAAGATTGCTATTGCGGAAGAATTTGATTTGCTCAGATTCGGCGTTTTTATAAGGACAATGTTATTGTTTATGCACTTCTTATATGCAAAATGTTACAAATTGCTGTTTTAATGTTTCATAGAAGCTCATTTCCCGAGCAATAAACGACATAACCTACCTAAAGTTCGATCTCTTCGGAAATGATCGGGACTGGATTTACTCAGAAAATGCTGACACGATGTTCGTTTGAAATACAATTCATCGCTATAATATATCATTATTACACCAGTTTGTAGCTAGCATCGCTAAAATAAACCAACCAAACAAACGTGAAACGCTTCCCATGCTGAGCACTGTTGGCTGAAAAAGCATGAAGTGAGTGAGGACAAGAGTGAAGAGATTAGCTCGACTCCCTTCGTCGCCTGCTGCCAAATGCGCTTAGTATATGGCAGCAGCTTAGACAAGCGTGAGCGGCGTGTACGAGACGTATGCTGGCGCAAACATTTGACTGAATGGCCTTGCGAAATTCGAACGAGAGCATCACGAGAGCATTGCAGTTGGGCGCGGTTTTTCATTGGTTTTTCATCACACTTCAAACTGTTCTCGCTAGAAAATTCGACAAGTGTTACGCATTACAAGAAAACAAGCTCCAACAATTAGGAGTGTGATACAATGGCAGAAGTAAGTATATTCTCCTGAATGCCCTGTTAATTGGAATTCAGTAACAGTAATGTTAAAGTGAATTCAAGCAAATAATTAATGTTCTGCCTCTTTTTGGAGTTCAGTTGGGCAAACTAGGCGGCGGGAATCAAAATATGGAGGCATCAAAATATTGATTCTAGTGGGCGGAGCTTTGACCATATATGGGCATACGTGCAGACCACCATAGAAACGTCAATTCTTCAGCAACCGGCTACAATTTCAAGATAGTTTCTTCACAAAATGAAGAGCAACGTTGAAGCTACCCGCCAGGCACGAAACAATAGCCCTAACCTCTTTGGTTAGTATAGGAAAGCGTCTTGAAAATAATCAAGATATTGATTCATCACGGCGGCTAATCCCGGCGAGAATCAATATTTTGATTCCGCAATCAGCTGGCTAATCATTATTTTGATTCTGAAATCAGCTGGTTTATCAATATATTGATTCTGCGAACCGACTTTCTGCAGGACGCCGGTGAAAACAGGGCGCCGGAGGGCATATTAGTCACGTGACATTTGGAGCTTCTCCCCCCTCCAAGGGCCTTCAAGATTCTAAATATCACGTGTGAATTTCACGAACCTTGATCAAATTGCCTCAGGCGCCCTGTTTTCACCGTCGTCCTTTCTGCAGACGTACTTCACTCTTCAAATTGATTTATGGAATGTTTCTTGTGTGCAAATAATGCAAATTCAATAAATTCATGAAGATATTATCAGCACAGGATCGTGTAATTTTTTTCTAGACCTTATTCCCACGATAGACCAGGGATTTTCAGCACTCACCCTGGCTCCCTGCTCAAAGCTGCAAGCCTTCGAGGGAATGCGTGAAGGGAGCCGTGCTGACCTTCGTATAGGGGTTGTACTGAGTCGGAGCCGGAACCGAAGCCCGACCATTTTACTCGGAGCCGGAGCCGGAGCCGGAGCTGGAACCGATTTTTTCCTCCGGAGCCGAAGCCGTCTGACATTTTCACGGCTCCACATCCCTGCTTTGTAGCATTGATTTTGAGTAAAAAAAAAGTTAACTTATCGTCTTTCACGTGTTCATGAATGTGTTACTACGCATCTGTATCCCGTCCCATTTCTGTGGAGTGCCTACAGTAAGAGATATTTCGCCGAACAATATACTCAAGCCCGTTGCACAAATTGCACAATTTGAATGAAAATATGATACACGGATGTATTTGCATTCGCAAATAATACGATGATATTCATAACACATTTCACAACGATCCCTGCAATTGCCACACATTTGCCATCACAAAGCCCTGTCGTTGATGCCCACATCCCATGCAAAGCAATACTCACTTTTAGGACACGTCTCTTATTCAATATGGTTACGTATTTGCAAAACATGCAGTTAATAATATTTGAAACTGAGACCTAACCGATAAGACATACCGTGGACAGGTAAGAAAAAACAAATAAACGTCTGGAGAATGACCTCAACGTCTCGATGTTGCCTAATTACAAAGAGCAATTTTCGGTTTCGAATCAAATACATCAAAACAAAATTTGTACAGATACACTCAATATAGGGTTTATGATTAGCACGGCTACCTAAAACATCAATCCTGTCAGGTTGAGCCACTTATGTCCACACCCAAAGCAGGTCGCTTTGGAACACCACAAGATCCCATATTACCACCGAAAACGGTCACCAATTGGTCTACTGATCAGCATCTTCAGAACATTCTCGACCGAAAAGCTATCAGTCCTGTCTGTGTTTTGGTTCGCTTCATTTGGGCTATGCGCACGTTTTTCTACTCCGGTTCTAGGGACGAGATAGCAGTCATCACGCGCTGCACCTGCTCGTTCTTTGACAGCTTGGTGACGCTGTCGTCATCCGGCAGGATAAACACGTGGCGCATTTCACCCTCGGCCCCGCCAGCCACATACACACTTCCTTACGTCATATTGTTTCTCGCCACGAGATCAAAGTTCAAAAGGTCGTGATGTAGGTAGTCTCCGCCCAGCCCGAGTCAGGTACTCCACCGGTTGGTCGGGTGCGGCCAGGTCCGCGCAACGCCGCCCTACTTTGGTCGACGCTCTGGTTGACAGAGATGGCGTTGTCATACAGTTGCCTGTCGACTGAACAGCGATTCAAGACGCCATCCTTGACCCTCTGAAGCCGATCCCCGCAACGACCAGTGTTTGATCCTTGGTTGACCTGCAGCAAACAACAGAACACAATAATTAGGACATTTGTGGACAATAAATTAGGAAACTATATGTGTTATTAATCTACTTGTTCAGCAACTATTAATTTTAGAATATATTCAATAAAAAATTAAATACTTAATGTCACTTAAATTTCCACTGAACGCCACCAGGTGCGCCAACAACTGTCATCTCATGCAGTTATATAAATTCTGCCATAAAAGTAGATCTGAGGCCAGTTGTACCAACAGAAAAATAGGTGGCTGCTGGATTTTTTTGTCTAAAAGTTACTTCACATACAGAGCATGAACGGTACAGCCCTATCCGTTTACGTGCCCATCATGTTAACGCTCCATATGTGAAGCAGTCTTTAGGCAAAAAATTCCAGCAGGCAGCTATTTGTGTTGATAAAACTGGCCTCTGAAATTAACTTTGGCATGGACAATCCTGAAAATTAACTATCCAGCATTCCCTGGACTGACGTACATTAGACACGTAATTTTCTTGAAGATCACGCATAATGTAAATATGGCTTACACCATTCAGCAAGTTGCTTTTGTTACACTTAAAATAAGCATCATTGAATTTGTAGCAAAATTGGGCGAAGCAATTACAAGCCAAGCATACATACCTAATATTTAGATAAGGCAAACACGAACATGCACTACGACCATTCAATCTTAACTCGGAACAAGTCAATAACCTAGTTGCCCTTAAAAATTTAAATGCTACAAATTAAAGTTGTAGCAACAATTGGGTGAGTGAGACACAAGCAGAGGCTAAAACATCCAAATTATGTAAAATACTGGACATGCACTGCCCCCATTTCATGAGTCCACCCAACAATTCTATCATGTGAGACAAAACATGAGGCTTCTTGTAACTAATTTATACCGTAACTTTTAAAGGACATCATATTTCACTGAAATACTACACCTAAGACATCATTTTCAAAAAAATATAGCTTAAAAAGACAATAGAAGAGTGAGAAGGCGTCCCGCGCCGCTGACGTCGCTACCGCGCCATGTTCCTAAAACCATCTCTTAAAACGAGTTTTCGGTAAGAAACGTTAAGATCACATGCCTGAAATTGAAAAACACACTTCAAAGTATCTTAAAATATGATCCATTGTTACTTACACTTCAGAAAAGGTCGCTTAAACAAAACAAAACCGGGAGCACTACGTTGCATCCAAACACCCACGACGCCGGCGCGAAATGGCGGGAACCGGAAATCGTGGCTAGATACAAAGAAAAAGAATATTTCTTATAAATGAATTATACAACTAAATAACGCATTTTTTATTTTCTTTTAGACAAAATTATGAAAAAATTACAAAGGCTCATCGTTAATGATAAACAGAGCAAGTTTTAACAGCACGTTTTTGTTGAATTATGGCGGCGAAATCTTTATGCCACTCGTAAAGGTACGCGCGACAAACGGCTGATAGCCGTGCAGCGAAAAATTGAAGCGGGGAAGTTTTTTGTATTGACTTGTCAAAAAATCTCGCCGTCATGGGGGTTATTTCCGCCGTAACGGGTCGTCTGAAGGTGGGAATGTCCCAAATTGAATCAAAATATTGATTCTATGCCCATATATGGTCAAAGCTCCGCCCACTAGAATCAATATTTTGATGCCTCCATATTTTGATTCCCACCGCCTAGTTTGCCCAACTGAGTTTGGATGCATTACAGTTTGGTTCAGCTCAAGCAGATAAAGAAGTAGGAACACTTCATAACAGCGTGCAGTCTCGTGCTGGCTGATTGTCCTGAGGGGCCCTGTGGGTGCCCTGTGTGCGGTCGGAGCGCACACAGCCTCCAAGCTCCGCCCACTGCGTCCCTACATTAGCCTTCTGTCACCGCACACAGCGACCGCTGTGGCCGGTCGGGACTGGCCACAGCGGACCGTCCACCGCACGCAGCCGTGACGTCAGAGCCGCCTACCCATTCGGCATCCCCTACCCCCACGCCTGCTGGACGCACCGCACACACCGCACGCAGCAGTGTGCGGTGCCCGTGAACACCCCTCTGATGGCTGATGGTGACAAACAAAGCTGGCCAGTGCAGTGGTTAGGGCTGCGGAGTGCTGACTCAATTGATTTTAAGATGACTCTTGACTCTGACTCTGGCTCCAACTTTGCAAAATCAACCCTTGCCAACTCTTACTCCGTCTCCAGCTGTGACTCCAGACATAGTTCTCATTAAGTCCATGTAATGAAATCAAATTTCATGTGCGAGATTATCATGCCTCAGGGCTCAGGCGACTCTTTGTGAGTTCCAAGGCCTTGCATTGCCAATAAGTACTTCTTAGATCAAGATATTATGCATTAATGAAAACAAGTTTTGATACAGTAGCCATCTTCAGCTTTTGCAAAGAAATATTCGTCCAAAATGGGTATGTCCTTCAACAAAATCTGGGTCTGGAAGGTCAAGAGCAAAATAATACATATCATCAAGCAACCAGGTAAATTGCATGACTGAGCAATTCAGTGTCAACTCTGACTCTGGACTCTGGAGTCAGAGTCAGTAAGATTTTAGCAACTGCAACTCTGACTTTGGGCAAACTGCAGACTCCGACCGACGGCACAACCCTGAAGCTGGCGATACAAATCTAGTATGTTGCACCAGCTTTGGCCTGTGGGGTGGAACCAGAGTTCAATCAATAGTGAGGATTGTGAGTAACAGTTGATGAGTGGCACCAGCTGTTAGCTAATAGCGCAACTACGCACCTCTAAACTGTAAAGTTTGACCCCCATGTCTGGGCAGTGGTTCATGCACTGATCACTGGGTAGGCAATGACCCAGGCTAGTCACCCTATTGGTCAAGGTCAGCTGTGCAGCTACCTAATCCCTGCCTCAGGGAAGGATGCAGGAATTCAAGGACATTCTCAGCAACACTATATTTAGGAGCATACCTATTGGAAATATACCAGATTGTCTCAGATAGATGGAAAGCATACAAACTTTTGTCGCACCCTTTATTACCTACACTTTACGCAGCTGAGCAGAAAGTAGGTGAGTCGTTGTGTGAAACTGGAAGCTTTGCAACCATATGCTAACGCTATGTTACATCGTGATGTCATATTTGTTATCTGTGTTTGTCCATTGCGTCTCGCTGGCGGCTTTTTGTCGTCCTCTGGGCCGCCACCTACACCTGTCTGCGTCGCTTGCTCATCTCCGTGCTCTTACAGAGGCTGGGCGGTGATCAGCGTGTGCCGGTGCGCACGGCGCCGCCCCCGCCGCCCCCGGGCGCCCCCTCCCCCGCCCCCACCGGAGTGGAGGTGGGGTTCGTCAGGAGTTCGTCACAACCCGCCAACAACAGGTGAGCAACAGCCCTGTGACGCTTTATATGTTATCGTCCCACTGTCTCCCGGGCGCTTTCGCTTAAGCTAACTTCCGAGCCGCCGGTCCACTCTTCACCCTAGTGGTCAAAAGCCGATGAACACCGATGGCTTTTACCGCATCTGTTTTATTCGTTGTTTTATTCCTAGTGTGGTCAATTCTATACCCTATAGCTATTATTTTCATATTTACCTGCTTCTTTTGGAACACGATATCCTATCGAAATCAGATCGAAATCTCTTTTTGCGTTGCTCCAGTCATCTCCACCACCTGTTAAATACGCTGCGTTAGCCTGCAGGTCCTATCAACCTTCGGATTACTCATCCCACTCTGCTGTTGATAGCGGACCACTGATTGCGAACCACGCCACAAGGCTTAGTATCGCGTGTGACGCCAGCGGCAAATCGCCCCTATCGTCGTCCTATCGCTGTGCAGGTGGCGCCCACTCGCGGCCACCACCAGTTAGCAAGTGGCGCAGTGGTGCCGAGAGTCACGCGACACACTCAGCTCCTGTGCGTTGTGTTGAGCCCGAGACATCAAAGCTCTCTGTGGGTTGTGCTCGAGCCAAGACATCCAAATCCACCCAGCATTGGCCAATATGGCGAGCGGCGGCCGGCCTCAGTCCGAGCTACCCCTGTACCCTGAGCCCCCGCCACCCTACTGGGCCGATTCTGCCACCGGAGCCCGCCCGCGCTCGGAGAAATCCCGCCCGCGCCGCCGACGATCTGAGTCGCCGCCTCGCACCAGCAGACAGCCGGCTGCGGCGCGCCGCCAGGGAAGCCGAGAGGGATCCGAGTCCCGCCGACAGCGCAGGGAGCGGCGAGAGCGCCGGTCCGGCAGCGCCGCCTCATCTCGCTCCTGCAGTGCCAGTCGTGCGGAGGGTCTGAGCGTCTGGGAGCCTCGGCCCGCCGGCCGAGATGGCCGTCCGGCAGAAGGAGCAGCGGCGCGGGACCAGCCTGACGGTGTGATGCGGAGCAGTGCCCACGCTGGTCCCCTGGTCCATCTGCCGCGCGTGCCTCCATGCGAACTGGAAGAGAAGTTTAGGAAGTCGAAGGCGTTCAGATATGGCAGACGGAAGCTGGTGTTGAAGGGAGGTTTGAGGTATGCCTCTCCAGACCGTCTTCTCATCTTTTTTTTTCATTTACTTCCCCCATTTCCTGCGGGTCCAGACCCTCCATTTCAGTCTGAAGTATGTCAGCTAGCTGTCTTAAATTCTTGTGATTTTTTTATTTCCGTTTCCGATCGAAAAGTCTTACCGCTCATCTGTTCTATCGGCAGGCGGCCCGTGCTGGAGCTGGTGGATCGGAACGGAAACGACCCGGACCCGCCGCCGTCTCGGCCAGCGCGGTCCTCGGGGCGCCATGGACGCTCGCGCAAGTCGGACAAAGAGGCTCGCCGGGCAGAACAGCAGTCACGGAAGAGGGCGCCGCCGCCGCGGCCGCCGCCTCCTAACCTGCAGGCTGCGCTGGTGAGTACTATATTCTCAATAAACTATTGTAAAAGGTGGCAAGCATAAACCTGTACTGAACTTCCAAAGAACGCATAGAGTGCTGGACAAAGTAAAACTTTCATTCGATATGCTTTTGCGAAATGCGGTGCTCTTGCTCTTCCTATTGACAGTCGACAGTCGACACCGTTGATATCGTGGCGATATCGGTCGCATGCGGTGCTGATTTCGTCACAGCCTCGTGACTTTATCGCCACCACACCCAACCGATATGTACCGGTTTGATTTGGCGTTTCGATGACCGCTTTGTTCAAATGATTCTGTAGTACCATTAATGACGATACGTCATTCTCGTATGTGTCCTGACTTGGTGCTCTCCTGGCATGCTATGGGGAGAAGAATGATCAATCTAAGATGGGACATTAATGAAAATGTGTGCGGACGAGTTTTGGTTATCTCTGGTGCATGAATATTTGCTGTGGTGACAATGGATGTTGTTGCTGATTCTGTCTCTCTTTGCCAGGGCTCACCACCGTCCTATGAAGAGACGCTAAAAATGGACTCTGCGGCGGCCGACCGGCTGGCGGAGCCCATTTCGGAGAGCGGTAACCCGTTCCTGATGGGAGTCCGCCGCACGTCAGACCGACCGGCCGCCTCCCCGCTACACCGCGACCACTCCTCGTCCGCCCTGACATCTACCGGCAGTTCCGGGAACCTGGCCGGCGGCTCGGTGTCACGGAACTCCAGCACCAGGTCCGCTGCGGATAGCTCCAGATCCGCGGCGGATGACTCGTCCCGCAGATCCAGCGCCACGCCCTCGCTGGACAGCGCGTCTGCGGCCGTTATCTCTGACACGCAGAGCGAGCCAGCTGGGGCGGACCCCTGGTCGCGCCGGTCGAGCGGAGTGGCCTCTGGAGACCCACAGGGGAGTGGAGCGGAGAGGAGTTCCTTCGACAGCGGTCAGGAGGGCTCATCATCAGCCACCCAGAGCAGCAGGTCCAGCTATAATCCATTCCATCCGCTACCGGCAGACGGACAGGCCGGTCAATCCGCAAGCGCATCGACTTCCTCTGTCACCGCACCGCCACGCCACAGCCGAGCGGGTCCCGCGGGTAGCGGTCTGACCCCGTCGGCCGGCTGGGCGGGCTCCAACAGCAGCTCGGCTCACAGAGACTCGGGCTGGGCAGGCCGAGTCAGTCGTACTGCCTCTCAGCTTAACCACAGTCCTTTCACCAGAGACGGGCCGGGCAGGACGGCGCACCACGGCGCGCCGTTTGGACGGGAGACCGTGTGGGCTGGGAGGATCACCCGGGCTGACTCGACCTCGGATAAGATGGTGACCAGAGGCTCGTCGGGGTCACTGTCTAAGGATGGCGAGAGTGCGTCTGGAACCTCACCCAGTGAGCCTTCCGGCTCTGTGTCTCAAGCAGTTGAAGCTCCGGTAAGCAGGTCCGATACCATCCGGTCGGCTGGAGCCGCGACAAGCACATCAGCAAGTACTTCAGCTAGTCTTTCTACCAGTCCAACTAGCAGTCTTCCAGCCAGTCCTGTAAGAAGCCATCCAGCCAGTCCCGCAGCTAGCCCTGCAGCTAGTCCTCCAGGTAGTCCACCAGCTAGTCCCCCAACCAGCCCTCGAACTGCGCGACCAACAAGATCAGCCACCAGCTCCCCACCGGTCCCGTCTTCTACTCCTCTGGTTCTGACCGTCTATACCACCGTCAGCCACGAATCGGCCGATGACTCGGCTGGACAGTCGGCCGGCGAGTCAGCGAGTCTCACGGTGGGAGAGTCAGTGAGTCATGCAGCGGGAGAGGCACTGAGTCGCACAACCGTTGAGTCATTGAGCTCTCCGGTCGGCTCGGCTCACGCCTCATCCGTCTCTCCGGCTGGTGCCAGATCCGGTGAAGGCTCGGCTCGATCCTCAGTCACTTCTCCGGACAGAGCTGGCGTCACCTCTTCAACCACCAGCCCCGCTCTTCATAATGGCGACTCGTTGGCCGAAAACGGTGACCTGGTGGATACAGGAGACCGATGTGATCGTTCGGAGGGGGTCGTGCTGAGGAGGAACCGTGGCGGCGCGTCGGCAGGGGCGGCACGAGTGACGTCTTCGACGGTGGATGCCCATCGGGGGTCCGGCGACGCTCCACCACTGAACTGGGGACTGCCCGTCGAACCGGTGAGTAAGGATGCACGGATGGGTGATTTTACAACATGGACTGTGGAAGTTTGGATACAAGTTGAAATTTTGATGCTCCAGGGCCTTTTTCATTCGCAATTAGATGCGCGTAATCTATTAAATCGCCGAAGTTTTCGCGTTATAACTACATTTTTGACTTTTCTCGAATTCAACCGTCAATCGGCAAAAATAATTTGCTGAGGCTATTCGACCTATCTAAGGTAGCGGAAGAAAACGTTTGGTTGAATTTATTATACACACCTCGTCTATTTATTGATAAGTGATTTGTTCGCTCCTGCTGATCCTCTCATGATAGCTGGTAAACATCGTGTGCCTGCCGTCCTCAGTTCTAACTGCTAATTATCTTTTGTTTCTAGGTGACGTCAACCACACCACAAGCAGTAGCCCTGTACGACTTTCACTCCTCGGCGCCTGGCGACCTCCCATTTAAGGTAAACACACGGTATCAACTTATCATGCAACCGGGAACACTCATTCTGATAGCCTCTTGATTGTTTGACATTATCGTTAATATGTTTTATCTTGTTCACAGAATGGTGTTTCTTGGTAGTGTTGTAGCTGTTGCTTGTGCCCTCGTATGTTATCCATCTCTGACGTTCCTCCACCCTTTCCGTGCAGGCGGGCGACTCTCTGGTACTTGTTCGTCGTGTGACGGCCGACTGGCTTCTCTGCCAAGTGGGGGACCGGCACGGCCTGGTACCGGCTCACCACGTCCGAGAGACGGTCCCTCTGCCCACCTCCCTCTCCGTGTCCCTGCCTGGAGCGGCCTCCCCGCTCCCTCCAGCCCCGGGCTTGTCCTCGAGCCAGTCAACCAGCCCCGAGTCGCAGCCCACCAGCCCCGACGGTCCGCCCGCTCAGGGTCAGCGCGCGATGGCGCTGTACGACTTCGTACCTCAGGAGAAGTACGATCTGGGTTTTAAGGTGAGTGGCCTGCGCCGCCTGAAACCGCTCATGTAGCTAGGTGGGACAAGGACGTAGTTAGGGTTAGTGCTTAATATGCGGCTTGGCCTTGTCCTGGCTCTTTTAGCTGGTAGTAGTAGCGCTGAGTAGTTTTAGCGTAGTTAGGGACCGCCTGTTGCATTGCATCATTGAAGTGTCAGTGGCTGAGTCACTGAAGCGGGGCCCTGGGAGTGTGGGCCGCAATGTATGATCAAGAATCTGGAGTCTGAATGCTTATGTAGTCATAAGTTGACTCAGTCAGATATAATTATATCTTGTAATTTAACAGATTTACTTTTTGGCCTTATTAGAGACCTATCTAGTTATGTTCAGGCGATCTGTGCCTGTGCCTTCAGTGGATGGAAATTAGTTCTTCTCATAATCATATCGTATTTGTTGTATCGACGCCCTGAATCTGTTTTGTTGCTGATTGCTCCTCCGTGGCGTAATTCATTCATTCATCCAATCTTATCCATCCGTCTGATGAATATATTCGTCCATATTTTCGTCCACTTTGTCACACCCGTCAAATATTGGCGAACTTCGACATGTTCCATCAAATCGCTGATTTTGGAATTCGGACAATCAATCTTTTTATTTTTTCTCTTTTATCTCCGTTTTCTTTCCATCTTGCTTTTCCTCTCCGTTTCTTTATTTCCCATCAGCTCTATTCGCTTGCCATTTGCTAATTCCGCCGTGATCACCCTCATCGTTTCTAACTCAACCAGTCGATCAGCTCGGTATCATACTAGAGACCGGGAATCGCCATCCTCGCAACCATCAACTATGGTTTGGCTCCATATTTTTACTGCTCCATAGTCCGCGGATCCTCAGACGTTGATCTACCCTCCTCAGTTCCAGTAGCCAGCCGCTGAGCTTCCACACTCCACACTCCCTAACGGCAGAAGAGTGACTCGCGGTCTGTCCGCTGATCTCTCTACAGGCTGGCGACATGCTTCTGGTCGTGGGAAAACTGAACAACGACTGGGGCTACGGCAGCCGGCGCGGCGTCTCTGGACAGTTTCCGCTGTCCTACGTGGATGTGGAGGTCGAGAATGTGCCCACCATCTGAGTGAGCACAGTCATACAGGCAGTACCGACCACCTGATCACGTCTGGCATCGAATCATCGACCTAAGGTCGCCAACCACCTGCCACTGACATCGTGCTTCCGACCTCTGACTGCCGACATGGACCGTCGACCACCGACCACTGACCGACTCGACACGAGTCGCGCGGTCAATCTTTGATGTTTGCCGACGATGGACTAGCCGATTTCAGGCTGTCGTTGTCTTTTGGCGAAAGTGGAAGCATTTCGAAAGTGAATGGATTTCAGTTCCACATCGTGCAGTCGACAGAATGTGGACGGAAAGCGAGTGAGATTTTGTCAACGTCCATCTTTCTACATATAAAGCATGAGTGGAATGGCACACTGGGAGGGGATGAAATGTTGCCTCTTCCGAGCGAGGAGACGAGAAACTGTGTGATGGAATATAACCAATTGGTTGTAACACTGGGACAAGGATTAAGTGGTGAATGTGATGCCAATAACTATGCTAAGTTATCCTGCCGAGGAAGATTGGTCTAAATGAGGGCTCTAAATGAAAGGGGGTGCTGTAGCTGTCCCCAGAACGCTGCTGTGATCGTCCCGCGGTATGACCAAGTCACTGGCGGAACGGTCGGGTCAATTCCAACCGGCCGGTTGTATCGAGGCACTTTGCCTCGGCTCACATTTATACCAATAACTTGGAGCTTAACGTCTTCTACCCGCTCTGTCGCTGTGAATACATACTCGGGCGTTTTTAGAGCTTCATTCGGGTCTAAGACTGATGCGCTTTGTCAACGCTGCGTAGAAGGTATATTTATAGTCGCAAGCCGGCAGACTTTCAATGGGGTCCCGTCTTTCTATTGGCGTGGCCTCACTCGAATCACAGTCACTGGGGACATTTTCAGCCGACTGGCTTATTTTTATAATGTGCTCGACCATTCATAGAGATTAGCCCGGAAGTTGGCCGAAGACTGTGCCATACCAGATAAAACTGTCGATGATGTGCATTTTAACGATTGTGTGTGACATAGATTTAGACACTGTGCCTTGACCAACGCAGGAACGCATCGATCATATGGGTTGGATATAGCGATTAGCGAAAAAGGGTACACATTCCCTCTCTGCCAGGTGATACAATTTGCGTCTATCCCGTCTGTTTCTTGCTTGACCGCTATCAGACCAGAGATGCCCATTAACGACATTCGTCGAATCACTTTTGCTAAATAGTCAACATTCACAATCATTTTGTGAAATTAAAGTATTTATCTGGCACAAACATGCCGAAGGCTGCTTTGCGACGAACTTCTACGTTTTTTTCAGCCTACAAATGACCAACGAACGCTGCGATCCGAACTTTGTCATGCTCGTATTGATAAGTTGATAGCTTCTATTTCATTGACCTCGGAGATTCATTTGCCCTTCCTCTCCTGTTGTGAAACCTAAATAATACCGTGTCGGCACGGCACCATACATTATTCGATGCCAACTAGCCTGCTCCTCTTCTCAGGATATTACCCTGCTTCCCATAATAAACCATAGGCCTTGGTTTTATTCCTCCAAAGTATCAGCGTATGACAAATGATCGATAGGTGTATAAGATTAAATAAGTGCGGGTGTTTTTCTAACGATATGCTGTTTGAGATTGTCCGAGTGCTTTGCCGGTCGCCTTTCGACGGTAGCTTCTGGGCAATGCACGGGGCATGTGATGACTGGTGCTATTGAAAATCAGCTGTTTTGTACGATGACGAATATATGACTGCTTTCTATGACGTTATTTTCATGTTTCCAGATGAATTAGGGTCATCTCATGATCTCCCCTGAAATGCCAGCGCCTGCGCTGTGGTGTTTATGGCAATCTATAACTTCGTTCGTATGTCATACGGCCGTCATATTCAGTTCACACTGGAAACGGGTGAATATTTTCCATGCTCACGGTTTATTTTACAGCCATGTCACATTCCTTGATTCACAAACACTTCACTGTGTTCCCTCTTCCCTGGTAAGCTCCACGTATTGGACCAGGTGAGCTGTAAATAATGCGCGTTGTGTTATCACTATTCCATTGCAGGATTCACAAACAATGGTGATCACCCTGATCGATGAATCCAATCGTAATTGCACGCCACAGTTGCATATTGATGGACCATCTGCTTTGGTCCCAGCCAGACATGCCAACAGCAGGCAATCATACTACCTACATGCTTATACGTTTTCAAAGCGATAATCGAGATTGTGATATGATAATCGTTTGTAATGTCAGCCCCATTCACTCGTATTTACAGAGAAATTGAAGACAAATCGTCTGGTCTGACAGACTTCTAATACTGACCACTCTCTTCTAAAACTAACATGATCAATACATCATTTCTCTCCATTCAAACACTTTCACATCTAAAACCAATCACTGACCAATTATCGCTTGCACAGTAGTGAACTGCAGTCTACAGCGCTCTGAAGTCTATTCACAACCCATACTCACAAACAGACTCTTCTTGGTCTCCGATGGGTGCACATGAGGTACTCGCTAGTCGCTGATTAGGAATGCGCACATGAAACACAGCCCACGAAGAAGACACACATTTAATGGATCACTCGTTCTACCATTTAGTGGCTGATGGGTCCAGTAAGGCACGTAATTCGTCTCGCGATCGGTTGTGAGCAATGGCACATCTAGTCTCTACCCTGCTGGCTGCTGAGTGGTAATCTTTGCACCCCAGAGGCTTCTACGCTAATGGCTGGCTTGGATTTGTGCAGCCGATACACACTGAGCGCTCAACATAGCATCGCTGTAACTTGTAATGTGCCATCCGTGATGCTCCCCTGTAGAGCCCTGAGCCTCCACTCGAGACGGTAGCTCCTCAATGGTTGGTACTTACCGTATCGCCCTCTGCTATTTCCCCGCTTCGCACCCAACCGCCACCTAGTGTGTCCACGCGTGCCGCGGTTTGGGCTCCAAGCTGACGCCTTGTCTCGGCGCGACCGTCGCTGCAAGAGCCAGTCATACATCCGTCGTACTGAGCTCATCAAGACTTGTCTGACCCGATACCGGGTCATGGGAGATGACCTCTAGTCGAGGTTCCGTTTCACGCCCTGTGCCATCTTTGGACAGCGCGGGTCACTTTCCATGAGGTGCTGCTTCTGTCGCTGGTATGCCTTCAGTCGGCACAGGCTGTAATCCTGAAACGGAGAAGGGGAAGTAATGTTAACCACCTGGTTTTCTATGTTGGTAACTAGCAAATGAGTTTATTAGTTTTAAGAGTGCGATTTAACTGCACTTTGTCGACACCTCTGAAAATCGTCCCGGATAATCGGCCCGGTCCATCGGACTCAATCAAAGGCTGCCTCTGGTCGCCAATGCAGTCCGTCCACTAGCATGCCGTTCACTTATTTGTGGCTATAGGTTCGAATCATTTTTAGTATTTGTTCGAATTTTACTGTAAAACAACAGGTGTAGATCTAGTGGTAATTTGTCAACGTTTACACTCCTCTCCGCCGCTCCGGCCGTACACTAACCCAGTATCCGAAGTTGATGGACGAGGTGGCCGCGTTGGTGATGCTCCAGACGGCCCAGAACAGGTGCGAGCCCAGACTGTAGACGTTGATCTCGTCCAGCATGCTCTCCTCCTCTCGCTGCAGCTGCTCCTTGTCCATCACCGGGTGTTCGTCGTCGTCGTCCACGGCCGCAGTCTTGAAGCGGTGCTCCAGGTAGGCGCGAATGAAGCGCAGCTGCGGACAAACAGGGGTGATTGTTAGTCATGTGGTTCAGTAGTGGGCAAAAGAAGAAATGCATTTCGGCTGTGCTCTGAGCTGTCAATGGGCTCATGTGTTACAGGTTTGCAAACAAGGTCGCTTGGCTTCTCGCTCATTGTTCTGCACACCTCAAAGTTTTTTTTCGCAATTTATATCTTTTCTGCATTGTTTGCTTTTACTAGGTCATTTACGAGTATTAGACCGAATAGCTTGTAGCATGTAGTTTAAGCTTTGTTTGATCGTTTTCTGCGCATCTGACGCTTGGAAACTGCGATTAACCACCTTCTAAAATGTTGTTAAAACCAGTTAAATTGTGCCCGACTTTATAGCTTGGATGACCAGGAACACGGTTCTGGCATTTATTTTTCATTAAACTTAGGCTTCCCATATTCCAAACACAAACTTTCAAATATGTGACGTCACAGCCCAAAATTACCTCCTTCCCCAGGCCACATTACTGTCATAAAGCTGATTCTTTTTACTCTGTAGGCACCACAACAAAGTTCAGACCAAGTTTTAAGTGATTTTTCAACGAACAAACCCATTTAAATCAGAATGACTAAACGAGGTGACGTCACACTAACGGTCGCTCCATGTTGAAGATAGGGCCTTGTACAAGGCCCATTTTCAAATGAAGGGAACGAATTTCTTCAACACCAAGAGGCCGCGGGGGTTGCAACCTAGATAGATAGTGGTTTCTGAACCTCGCCGCAAACTTGGCTATCTCAACTCAAACCCCATGTTAAAGGTGGGATAGTCCCTTTAATGGTAGGTGTTATCATGTTTTATGAATAGCTTGTAATGTTCAGAAAAAAAAACCGGTCAGGGATGACAAATGCCTTATTACAGAAGCGCTTATCTCGGACCGTCATTTTATAGTTTTCGATAGCGTACATTTATCATTTGTATAGTATTCTAAATAATCCACATCTGGTTATTAGCCCCCACCGGACCCACCCCCTGTTTTTGCTTCGGAGCCTGCGTATCTGTTCGTAACGAAGTGTCCGTTTCATCGGCATGGTAACAATATGAATTGTCCATCTGCCTCTCGGCCTGGTGCGCGACCTCGCCGGTCCTTTATGATTAATGTTCTCCGCTTTCCGGCCTTCGGAACAGTGGCTGTCTGACTGGAGTTACCAGGGCTGCCGACGGGCTGAACTCAGGCCAGGGTGATTGAGACAAGGGACACTGATCCCGGAAAACACATGGCTTAGAGTTTAATTAAGTGATGGATTTGACTTTTTGACTTTGTGGAGTGAGCGGTTTCAATAGTTATGTATTTAGCCGACAACGACCTTGGGAAACGTTAAAACTCAATACGACAGCCCGATAAGGAGTGCTGTCTCGTCTCATGAACCCGTTTTTAAGTCATTGCGTTCTCCGACCCGTCCAAGAGTGTTAAGCTCTGGCAGGACCAGCACTGAACCCGCACCGCACGTACTGTTGACGTGGATTCTGCCGTGCAGCTCACTCTGTGTTATGTTACCCAGTTTTGGACCAGCCAGACCGCGTCCCGGTTTCGGCACATGGTCGAGGGGTGTGTGAGGGGTGCACACCCCCTCAGCAGGGAGGTGTGTCGGCTTCCCTCGCTGAAGGTGACCGCTGGGGACAAGTGCACCGGATAGCGCGCCCGCCAGCAGGGTCTGGCGTTGGTCTGCAGCTGCAACGCCGGCGTCGCCGCCGTGCCTACCCGGTGTCTGCGTCGTAAGTGTCTGTGTCTGCTCCAAAACATGTCCGGAATTCTCCCCGGGATGTCGCTTTTTATTAGAGACACCGGTCGATCTCAGGACCGGGCTCAGTGGACGTTTTATATATATATATATATATATATATATATATATATATATATATATATATATATATATATATATATATATATATATATATATATATATATATATATATATATATATATATATATATATATATATATATATATATATATATATATATATATATATTTTTTAAGCCGGGCCTCCTTTTTAGGTCTAGGCCAAATTGTCCTGTCGGTATTGGTATAACATTTGGTCGAAATATCTGCACACTGATTTCGTAAGTAAGCATTGCTTTGGTTATGGCCGGGGACATTATTTGTGCAGTTTTAGTGAACAAACCACGTCTGCCTCCCTATGGCAACTGTAATGTCGAACGTTCCTGAACATGTTTTCTGTCTCAACATGATGCGGATTATGTCGGAAATTACGCACCCTTCAATGACGCCATGATCCCTGCTTCTTGTACAATTGGCAAAACAATTTGACATTGATAGGTTTGTTGAACACCCACGTCATGACTTCGCAGCTGAGACGGCGAGACATGGTGGTGGTTGACGCATTACCAATCGAAGATGGAAAATTATTCTGGGAAAAACTGAGTGGATGATGACAACCTCCGACTCTGATAAACAAGGATGTCCGGGAGTTGGCGTCTCACTGTCCTCCCACGAGCTTTGATCTGGGAGGAAAAATGACGCACGCCAAGCACGAAACGAGCCTCGAGGTTCTCATTACTCCAGTGTGCACTCATCAGAACAAACCATATTATGTGCGACGCATCGTGCCATGTTCTACGTATGTACTCTTGTATATTACACATTGCTGCCACATGTGACGCATAGCATGCAATATGTACGGGCATTTGGATGAGATATGGAACAAGCGTGTGTCTGTTCAGGCTTTCTGCCATCATCCCCATTCGACCCAGTATGGCTTGTTTTTGAAGAATGGGAGAAAAGAACGGGAGTAAAATACGTTCCCCAGGGAAACAATGTGCCGTAAGTCGGTTTCTTCAGACTCGCATAGTGATACTTTTATGGTGAACTATGGACATAAAATCCGGAATGTTTCCTTCAATTCATTGCAATTGCTGGTGCTGGTGCTGGTCACCTTCGAGTCCCATATTTTAAAAGAAGAAAATTCCAGACAGTTCCACTTTGACACATCTGTCAGAACTGGAGCATTCGGCCTTCGATTACTGCGTGCTTTTGCTCGCGACCTCCATAGCGCGTCGAACATTGGTCGTCTGCAATCATTCAGACCCAGCTGCCAATGTCACCGATAAACAATTTGAACTTTTCTCAGGAGGCTTGGTCGGGCTCAGAATTTCCGACTGTTTTGCAGTCTGTGTTGATTGGGTACAGGGGCTGGCTTTGTACCGGTGTCTGTTGAAATGGAGGTCATTGGACGAGTCCACTCCTCATTCGACTGGCAGTAGAGCTAGCCGATAGTTTGGAAACAAGCGGATTGCCTATCACTGCGCGCAGTTCCGATTTGCTTTCACTGAATCTTGGAAAGGAATTTGCCTTTTGGTTACTTTGCTCTTTCTCAAGTGGTAGAATGAAACCTGCCAACACCAAAATGTGCTGTAGTGTTTGCGCTTTTTTATTTCCGCTTTATACGTCAAGCCTCAGTCACCACTCATCAGCCATTGTCAGATCAGTCATTGGTCAGTAACTGGAGAATCCCACTCGCTCGTCCCAATTCAGTTCGCTTGTCGGCAAGGGAAGGGAAAGCAAAGAAGGTTCATACGTCCCTTCCGTAACTCGTCCGTCCCTGCCAACTCGTCCCCTCATCCCTACCGCTGGGGACTCAAAGCTCCCTCACCTGTTCATCCCGACTCGGCCATCGGTCCGGGTGCTCCGTGAAGAAGGGCGGCTGCGGCGAGGAGTAGTCGTACAGCCACTCGCAGAAGTGGTTGGCCAGGTCGAAGCCACGGTAGTTGTAGCTGCAGTACTCGAAGTCGATCAGTGTGAGTCGCTGCCGACCTCCCTTGACGTCGCTGTGCCGGAGTACGTTGCCCTCCTGGAGGTCATTGTGGCAGAATACCACCGGAGATGGTACTCGGTCGAAATACCGCCTGAGGGCGAGGAGAACGGGAGTTGAAGACCGCTCGTGGTCAGTACCGCCGTGGTCCCGCCGTCAGTACATTTATGAAGTTAATTGTAATTCGTATGTAACTGCAGTAGCTTACGAGTATTCTATGTTGATGTCCCTAGGGAAAACGTTTAAAAGGTTACTTGGACGATGGACATTAACTGTTGTGACATTGGATATGCAGACATGATATTAGTTCGTTGTAAATCAATGATCCGCGCATTGACTGCATCATTCGACGACGCAATTCTGGCGACCTCCGACCTCGGCACAAGGACTGGACCAGCCGGCCGGCCACGTGAGTGGTCTGGACGGCGAACCGTCCGCGGGTGGACCCCGGACCGAGAGAGACTGGTGCATAGGGCAAAGGTCACCACAGGGGTCTGTTCGGAACCCGTGTCATATCGCCTCCTCGACCGGCGACCACACACAGACAGACAGACGGACAGACGGGGGGGGGGGGGCAGATGGACAGGAGCACTGGGAAATGTTGGAACATGAACTCAAGCTGCCTGGCTTGTTACTAGCTGAGGTTTTGTGCGTTCTGGTGGAGCGTGGCGACAAGCATCGGGTTACACTGTATGGTATCGTTTCTACATACTTTTCAAGTGAGTCATTTGCCAGCATGCATGCTTAGCAATAAGTTAATGCGTTTCTACTTCCTACCTCAAGTTGACCTTTTAATATCAAGCACGACATCGTTATCAACGTGACAATTATCGGCCGGCGCTGACCAAGCCCTGCTGCATCTTTGTATTGACAAGCGTGCCCTTCGGAATCTTGGTTAAAAAATCAAAATTTTGATTGGAAATTAACTCCTAATTTTGTTTTCAGAACCCTTCGTGACCTTTGTCATCTTCCGCTTGACCACGGAGAACCTATTCAAATGCACTAGAGAACCTCCAAAATCAAAATCAAACCTCCGGTACAAATGCAATGTCATGCATTACTCTACATACTACATATCTTCGTGCCACCCAAGGCCGTATATAGGTGCCACCTACTTGAGCCACTCCATTTCCTGTTCGAAGCTGACCAGCCGCAGTGATTTGATGACATCCACCTTGTCGGCGTGCTCTGCCATGGTTCGGTCGTCCAGACACTCTTTGGTCATCCGGATCCACCTGTCGGCGAAAAGGGAATAAACAGTTTGGTCTTTCCAACATTTTAAAGTCTGTTCAGTTATTCCAACTATTCTAAAATCAATATGAAGCCGTGCTCAAATTATAGTTGCCTGCAAACTAGCGAGCCACAGCGACTGAGGCCCATGTGCTGAAGCTGAGACATAAGAAGAAATTATGTAGTTTAAGAGAGGTATAACTTATAAGATTCTTTGTCAACGCTTTCTTACTTTTTCATCATCTGCCAGATGAACCTGGGCTCCTTGCAGATGGGCACGTCTAGCGAGTGGACCGTGGCCAGCTGACGGGCGATCTGACGGCTGACCTCGGGAGAGCGCAGGTCACTGTACCGCAGAGAGGAGGCCTGGGGGTGCAAAAGACATTGCCGTGTTGATCCGTGACATCTCAACATATCTTTCTTTAGTGCATCGTAGTATTTCGTTCAGTAGACTGGAAATAGGCGATTTGTTCATTTTCAAACGTCGATGAAGATGTTATCGATGAAAAATGTGTGACTTACGTTTCATTGACGTTTAGCGACACATATAATTGAGTTGACCGTACCTATTGGTTTCCAGCTTTTGTCGGTAAACTCTGAATGAAATATGAACTCCTCTGTCATTCAGATCACTGACCTGCCTGATTCACTGATCACTGATTCAGCCACTGACCTGAATGAACTCCTCCAGCCTTCCCCCGGGGAAGATGCCGTACAGTTTGGGCCCGAGTCTCCGCTCGGCCAGCAGTGTGAAGATGACCGACTCCGTGATAGACTCGTGGCCCCCGTCCTGCACCTGGATAGGAGCAGAATCGTGAGGGAGGGCTGCATGATGAATTACGAACGTTTGGTCAATCCGCTGCCTTAGCAATTACAGACCAATAATATCACGACTGATTCGCGTTACCTAACGCCGACAGTAAAATATCATGGAGTTCAGTGTACTCACAACGTAATGGGAATGTTCCTCTCGCGAGTTGTTGGGATGCGAGGCTCTGCTTACCTGTCCATACATCCTGAGCAGCACCTGACACGGCTCCCCGGCCAACGGCTGCTGATCGTCGGGCAGCTCGCACAGAAACAAAAAGTTGCTCATTCCGCCGCTGAAAACACACATATAGTTTGTCACGGATTGATAGCTACACAGACAACTGCACTATAAAATAATAGTGCCCAATTTTAGAGCCGCCTGTCCGTAGGTAATACTGATATCCAAAAACAAAGTGATTACTGACTTCCAGAGCTGTTCTCGATTAGGTATATTGGAGCCGTTTTTGTGTGCCTTATCTGATTCATTTCAACCTGATATGATAAAGTTGTTTGGTTCAGTTGCCAATTATAGAGGTTTGATTTGTTTTTCTGTTAACTTGGCCAAGAACTTTTGATTCTATCGACCTTGGTGTGTTCTTGATGTTCTTGATGATTTCAATTCCAGATCGGAATGGAAGAAGAGCCGCGTAGACAAGTGGACTGCAGTGTATACGAGCAGCGTGGTCCACTTTAACGCCATATGGAGACCCTTTCCGATTTAAGAAACCAAGCTTTAATTTAACCTGTAGTCTCATAGTGCGCATCGGCGTTCACAACTTCGTCATGATCGTGTCTAGTTCCAATCTACGAACTGTTTCGCGTTAGTGACGTTCAAAGCAAGCACACGCGCTGCGACCTCTCATCTGTTGATTCCTCTCCCCCGCCTCAAGTTGCGTTGAATGGAGCCAGATCTCAAACAAGGCTCGCTTTCACAATCCACAAAATATGGACCGAGGCCGGCACGTTTGTCGTATGCTCGTGGAAGAATTCCGGACTGCGTGGCTGGCCGTTCGTATAGCGACGTAGGCCGGATGTTATTGCATAAGTTCGTTCTTCTGCTGGCGTTGTCTTCGGTCTGGTGTCTGGCATGCCAGGCCGCTAAAGCTAGCGCGTTGCGCACTGTACGCATACATTTCCACTGTACGCTCTGGCGTGCCTGGTTTGGTTGTAATGGGCTCCTTTTCATTTGAATTGATAAATGTGTGGATGATATGCTCCGGTTGTCGTCGCCGTATGTAAACAGAAGGGCAGAAATGTGAACACTTCCTATAAGTCTTCGCGTATTTTGTAACATTAACTCAAGCAAGGCGTCATTCGCGGAACGGCACATGTGGGTGAGCAATGGAAAACATTTATGTCCACAGTTGATGCGGTGATATTCTCTTTTATCGCCGATGACTTCGAACGATTTTCCTCATGATTTTAGTCACATGTTTATGTGCGAAGTAGAGCCCATCGCCGAAATGTCAAAATAAGTTTTATAGACAGCGGCCATCCGAATAAAAAAAACTCAAGTAATGTTTCACTGACATTTTTTAAATACTTTTTACCCACAAAAAATATATCATTCACTAATACGACTGAGGTGCACTGATACCATTCAAATGACGGTGGATGCAATTGCAAACACATTAGAAATATGTAGAAAACTTGCGGGTAAGTTGGGTGACAGTGCCCATTTTTTTTGTCCATGTGGCTCAGAGTCACAGGTGTTCGTCATATTTGGGGATCGTATAACCATCTGGGCAGCCCTGGCACGCTAGTTGAAATACAAGGCGGCCAGTCCTTTGTGCTAGTTTTGTCGAGACTCGAATATGATATTGGCTCGAGCACAAATAACAGTAGTACTACTGTTATCTGTGGCCCGAGACTTTGACTCGAGGAATAGGAGAGAACGTATTGGTAGCCAATCCTCATTGAGTGGATGTTACATACGAAATGAATTTGTTTTAAATACCTTAGCCATGCTCGCTTCGGCGTATGAGCGTGACCAACCTGAATGGTTTAGTGATCGCTTTATTTTCTGACGAAATGATACACGGGACCCACCTGATGGGTTTGATGACCATGTCATCTGGCGAGATGAGCTGCCACGCGCCGTGCAGGTAGTCTCGGCAGAGGCCGTGCGCCTGGTTCCGCATCTCCTCGACACCTGGAGGCATTGTGAGCTCCGTCAGCAGCCGTCACCAACTCTATGAACACCCTTCCTGCCGCAGAGCGACGCTGCCGACCCCGGGACACTCCCAACACACTCCTCGGAGTTCGGACACTCTACAGGCACTCCCCGGTCAGTGAGCGGCTGGACGGCACTCTTGGACACCAGTCTGCGATCCGGGGGAACGCAGCCTCTGCCCACACCGTCCACACACTCACTGGCAATCATTGTCGGTGGGATGCGCCGCTATCGGTCGATGTTCCTGGCCTCAAGTGTTCCTTCTCCGCGTGTGGCCACACACACACCTCCGTTGTCCTCTTTGGGGTGCTCGAAACCGATCGAAGGTCACCCGAGCGCGTGGCTTTGTCCGATTTTCTACCAATCCAAGCCGCTCTGGCCACTGCCGCTCGACAGTTTATGTACCAAATGCACGTTCGTATAGTTCGGCCACCCTATATTCAAATGATAAATACGCTTTGCGATTCTGTCTGAATCAGAGCAATGACCTCTCTAAAGCACTTCAGTTTAGATTCAGACTGCGTTATCGGAGCTCGGGACGGTTTCTGCGCATCTAAACTGGACCGATCAGCATGCGTATGCGTCTGGCTCCGGCGTTACGTTCGGTTTAAAATCGTCCGGGCGGTCAGCGCCTCCTTATATAACAGACGTCCGAGCCGCCGCCGTCGTCCAGTCGGTGACGTCATATTGACGTCATACTGTGAGTGTGGACGGGGTTCCCGGCAAAGAGGGTGTGTCTCCTGCGTCATAACCCTTCTGGCGAGGTCATACGCTGCTGCTCCGTACGGAGGGAGCCCCCGGCGAGGTGAAGGGTTTCTGGGAAAGTAATTATATGTAGGTATGTGAAATTACATGCGCTCGGTAGGCTTCAGACAGGGCGGTGATTGACGGCGTTTTTATCACCTCCCGGCGTTTTCAGTGGATGGCCGACGTATCAGTTCTAGTGGATGCTCATTATCGTTTTTAAGAAGGCTAATAACAATGCATATTTTTTCGAATGCGGAGTATTTCTATTATTGCCTTCTATTGCGTGGGTTCATCTACATAGATCTTTGCTGAGTTTGTTTGCACTAATATGTGTAGGAAAGTGACGTAGAATCAAAATGGAATTTCACGGGATGAAAACCATATGCATGTTCATCACTCATCGCTAGACAAATAATCATGGTTAAACTGCGCCATGGTTTTCAGCACGGCACTCTAGTGATATGACTCAGTACGAGTAACGAGGAATACATTTTCTACTCTGATCATGGCCCATGACCTTTGCTCCGTGCGGATTCTTGCATGGAATCAGCCTCTGTGAATTCGCCGGTGACCAGGAGACTGGTCTGTATTCTTTCTGTTTGTAGCACTAAGCACTTCTCAGCACTCCAGATCACCCATTCGAACAATTATTCCGCTTGTCTGAGCCAGAGGGTGCACGCTTCCAGCCTTGACACCATATTGTCAGTGGAGAGGACGGCAGTTACGATCGCCCGGTATGGTTGCCAGCTCAGTTTCTTGCAGAGAATTGTCCATACATTCCAAAAAAAAGACATTTCCCGGCCTCCTGAAGACTTGCGAGCGTGGATATTGGGTGTTTTTTGGAAGAATGGTAAGTCTCTCCACCTTCTAAGGATTTTCCTGCCTGAACTTCACCTTCTGGCTCCAAGCAGCTCAATAAGGTGCGGAAAGAACTCAAGCACCTTGATGAACTACATACATGCTGCCGTAAGTGGCCGAAGACGGTCGGCGAGCATCTGAGAAAAATGGCGCGGCACATCCGGCGCCGGGCAGAGCTTGCCACACTTCGAGCACCTCCTATAGAGAAACCAAGGGTCACAACTGATTTTCGTGTTTGTGATGTCAAATGTCCAAGATCTATCATACTAACGGTGTGCTGTTTATATGTTAAAGTAGGTACACATTATGTGCCTCCAGCGGGGGCTTACTTTATGTCATTTGCTAATGAACACCCTGTATTTATGGGTCATGCTGGGTTACCAAGCTTAACGTCATGCATGTAGTGAAAATTCTGTCTTTGACTGCCCAAATAAACTATTACTGAGGAGTCACTGGAGCCTTTTCACCTTACAATGGAATACGAACGAAACAGGTCAAACGTAATGACTTCATACGTTTGACTTCATAATACGTTTGACGTAATGACTTCATACTTCATAATGACGTCAAACGTAATGACTTCATACAAAAAAAAAATATGGACCTGTCATTTACCTGATCATTACGAAACATCAGTGAATATGTCAATTGATGATTCATTCATCTCTATAGGTATTGGCATCTGCACACCTCATCGAATTTCGGCGCCATTTTAGTTCGATTCACTCCGATATGTTATCGTCCTTCGTCGGACTTCCCTATCGTGAACACGCAGGAATGTTCACGGCTGCATCTTGCACCACTCATATGTGCTATCGCTCGAGATGCAAACCCTGCGTAGTGCGTATTTTTTTTTTCATGAGAGCAGGTGCATATTGCTCGTTGTTAGGGAGGTGTCCACTGTCTAGTTGGTTGGAATCACCGATTCAATGTCCGTTTTAAAAATTTAATGACGGCTTGGTGCTCTTCTTGTCATTGGCGACCTCTCTGTTCTCTGTCGCCTTTTCGGAAGTAGGTAACGTTTGAACGTATGACTTCTGATTTATTCATCGCTGACATTTTTGTGACTATTATAGTAGGTATTCATCTGATCCTTCAATCCATGTGCTTACCGAGCTATGCTGCCTTCGTGGGCTGAGGTTGACCTCGATGTTGTACTCTTCGGGCTTGACCATCCTACGCAAAACATGTATTTTGTCTTTGATGGAACCCTCCCGTCCATCAGACGTGAAGCATATGAGAATGCTCCTGTTTGTGGACACCTCTACTAAACTTGGTGGGCTGGAACCCGAGTCATACAGCCAGGTTTGCACCTCTACCTCCGCCTGTGCCCTCGCTGTCGCTATCGGCGCTGCGCGGCCCGGGTCGCTGCGGAGGCGGCGGCGACTCACCTGCCGCTATCAGTGCCCCGATTAGACACAGTTTGAACGCAGCCAGCCAACCGGCAGCCAGTGGTGTGGCGGCTGTCGACAGAGAAGTGCTGTTGCTGGGGTTTTGAGGACCCGATAAAGTCGTATTCGAGACTGAGAACTCCGCTTAGCTGTGAGACGATTGACTGAAGAGCCCCTCGAGCTGTTAGAAGGCTGACTAATAAGTCAGTGGGACTGCAAGGAAACTGATTTAGCCAACCAGACTGCGAAGACAGTGACTTCCGACCACTGTGTAACTCTTTGAAGACCGACTGCCGGGGTGTGAGCTCTGAGGCAGCTCGGTGTCCGAGCACGACAGACAATGGCGGCGGCCCGCGGCAGCACGGGGCTGGCCCTGGCTCTTCTGGTGCTGGTGGTGGCAGTAAGCGGGGCGACGGCCCGCAATCGCTCCCGGCGCCAGATGGGTTCCGGGAAAATCAGCAACTCTTATTACAGTGAGTACGGCGGCGCTTTGTTGGGCGAGCCCCGAATGGTTAGATGCTGCATTCCACGGGCCTGCTAACGCATAAATTGACGCTCTTTTCGAATCAGGCGCCTCCTCCGTAATGAAGCATTAGATGTACTTGCTTTATTTAATTCAAAAAATTGTTAGAAATGTGTTCCGTCTTTTGTATGAATCTTGGATACATTTTGTTGACATTGACATTGCGGATATCTTTCGAATATCTTTGGGTGGCTGGGGATGCCATAGCTGGGTTATCTTTCACTCCTGACAGAGATGGTCTGCGGCTGGTGCGGGAGCAGTCGCAGCTTGTTGAAGTCGGTTGAATGGAACGGACCGTTTCCGACTTTGATGGACACGTTAAACTTTGCAATCTAAATCCTCCCGATCTTCGAAATCGCACAATCGAATGGCCTATATGCCAATACGGGACCTATGCAATGCAGCTCCTTAAGCATGAGCTCCGGCTCTGTCATTGGGCTCTGGCTCAACAGGCATGAGCCATCCATCCGTTTAAACTCTATCTACATACCTGCTTTTAATGTTTAAGTGGTAGTTGCTAGCTATCTAAGCCAATGCAATTCAAAGATCCGCTTGCAGTTTGTCAGTCGTTTGTGTGCGGACTGCTGACATTGCCGCTGGCTATGATTCATGATCGGATTTACGCACCGCGGAGCTACGCTATCGGCGTGGCCTCTCGACATCAATCACCGATACTGTGGGACTTCCGTCTTACCCACGGTGTATATCGCACTATCGCACAACTGCGACACAAAGAAACGTGACTCACCCGCTGAGGAGGCTATCTTTGCTGTTCAGGATGGCACAAAGGGTCACCAAGATGACTTCTTGTCTTACTCATGCGTGTGCTTGAAATAATGCACACAAAGCCAACTCCGGTTTTTTTGCACTAATGCATGCTGCGATTATTTGTTTGCAAACGAATTAGCAAGGGGTCCTGAATGTTGCGCGGGCTATGCTTAAGAAGTGACAAGAGGAATCTCTAGAAGCATCAGCCTATGTAAAGCTTGTTCACAGAAGCGCGTTTTTGGCCTCAGTATCGTGCATGATACGACCCAGGAGAAAAAAATCCGTATGAAGTCACACAGCAGTGATATCGTTTTCAACAGTTAACGGCAAAGTGATCTATCACTTTCACACAACTCACCGTAAAAGCAATGACTGTTCGCCTGGATAACCATAATTCCGACTCTGTCGTATCGTCTCCCGACTCTTGCAACTCCTGCCTGACCAGTGAGAAGACAGTCCGCTGCGGCTCGCCTCCTCGTCACAACTGAGTGGGTTGCAGTGTTTTCCACCAAAACTGGCCCGTACCACGTCACCGGACACGACGTACCCCGGTACTGGTGTCACAACATACGCGGCTCGATAAACATTAAACGTCCTCGTCAGCACAGGATGGCAGTGCGCAGCTGCTGAGCCACTGCAAACATTGCCGGCATTGCACTGAAACTGATTGTGCGCTCCGCCCGATTTATTTGGGCCAGTTGGACCTCTAGAAGTTCAAATAACTTTTGGTCAATACTCGAAGTAAACTCTTTCAAAAACTCTTGACTATCGACGAAGCGCCAGATGCATAGAAAGGTCGGAACAATGTGCTGATTTGATGTGAATTTCATGAAGTACAACAATACATGCAGGCATTTGCTTTGCGGGCCAGTCCGTCCTCAGGCTTCTTACTGCGGAACCGCGCCCTCGCATGACATTGCAGCATAGTAGAGCCTAAATACATGCTTTTATGGTTCACTTCCAGGGATTCCGCCATTTTCGATCCCATCTCCTCGGCTTGAAATGGCTCAAAGCTCACACAGTAGCATTCCAAGTGCTAACATTTCCGCCGTTTTCCTTTTCTGTCATTCGGCTGCAGCGCCGGCAGCGGTGCCGGCCCCCCTGCGGCACCTCAGGCTCGCAGTCACCGATAACGTCTTATCGCGAGCCAGCACGGCGGCCTATCTACGGCCACGCTAATACCCCGGGCTGTGGAGGGGAGGGGGGGGGGGGGGGTACTGGGGGGGGGGGGTGACGTCACCAGCCACTCTGCTCTGAGCTGCCGAGTGCCGAGATACTGGCCCGTGCACTGACACACAGTTGCCGAGATACTGGTCACGTTTCCTGACACACAGCTTCTTAGATAGTAAGATACTGACATGCTGACACAGTGATGGTGCAATAGTTGGAGTGCTCCTTGCTGCTCTTGAGCTATCAGTTGGTGCCAACTGCCGCTTTTAAAACGGGTCATGAAATTTCCAAGAAACGACAAAGAGAATAGGGCACAAACGAAGTCGTTTCATTCTGATGACCGATGACCATTCGGCATCCCTTTGTCCTGATCCGTCGCCTCTTGTGTCTCTTTTTTCCCAGGTGGTCCTTCTGGCGGCCTGAACTCGTACGACGCGTGGGACGACGAGGAACACTATGTCATTACCGAGGACCGACTCAACGAGATCCGATCCGAGATGATGTACCCCTACAAGGACCCCAACGACTACCAGAAGGACATCAACGACCTGACGCCGCAGATTGACAAAAAGCTCAACTTCAGGTTCCCCTTCTATGGGTTCCTCTTCAACTATACATGGGTACGTACTGCGTAGAACTTATTATAAAACGGGTATCCTCTTGATCCACGATAGTGCATAGGTAATAGGTATGATTCGCGCCAAGACCCAGGGGTTATTCAGTTGGTCTGGTCGGGACAAATGGAGCTCTTATGATACACGATGCCTGTTGTATCAGAGAGTTAACCACTCGGTACTCCACGTAACATCAGCATGTCTAATATCCATTGTCCTACCGTACGCAGGGCTGAAGCTTCCTTCCATGCTAACACGTTCGCCTGTAACCCCTGCTCCAACCGACACATCCGCCACCTCCCAACCTCTCATTGTACTGACGTTTCTCTTTACCGCTAACAGGTGTCTCTGCACGGCTTCCTCGGGTTCTCCGTACCAACCTCGGAGCCGCAGACGTACCCGCTGACGTTCCCCCAGCCGGACTGGCCGGTCAAGAACGATCCCTCCTTCATCGGGCCCTTCTACAGCAAGTGTGTCATGGGGGAGATCGGTGGCGAGGAGACCGACACGCGGCGGCCAGGAGTCTACTACAGGTCGGTTCACACGACACACCGTTCCGTGCTTCTATCCTCAGGATACTGAAATCCTTATCCTCCACGCCGCAACCCCCCTCCAGGCTGGACAGGCAACTTTATCTCATGCGGGCTGCTCCCTTGGAGCGGCACCGCTGCTCCCGAGGGAGCGCACCCCGTAGCCGGGTGCAGTGAGTGCCTTGGGGCTGGGTGGCCTGTCCTCTGGACGGGCTCAGCCCCGGCGACTCACTAGGGTGCCTACCCAGACCAATGTCTCCCCCTATATCCTATGATCCTCCCGGCTCTGATATGGTCTTATTGGACCGAAAGGGCTTAACCCAACAAAACAAAAACAAACAAATATAACGATTAACACTGAAAAATGACCACGGCCTGGAAATGTTATCAGCTCACGTTCGTCGTTGGGATACTCATAGCTGATCCTAATTTACGACGAAGAGACGTAGAATCTTTGTTACACCCTATTGGATTGATTTGTTCATTAGTCAAGAAGTGGACTTATTGGCGTTGAGAATGCTAAAAAGTCGTTGGTATGATCACAGTAAAAAAGCACATGTCAGATGTCCACAGACCTCACCGAATATGCAGGTCAACGAAGAAGACCAGAGCCGGCGCGATCAGCAGTACAGGCAGCAGTGGCGACTGAGTCGCTGGTTGAGTCGTTAGACTCGTCTGCGGTGGCAGAGTCAGTTTAGCAGTTTTGATGATAGTTTTCTTCCCTCCTGTAACCTTTTTCCGAGTGCACATTTGCAGGCCACTTGCTCCGTTCGCCGTCAGCCGTCGACTGCCGCCGGCACCACCGCCACCGCTGTCCCCTGCGCCCCTCCCCAACCGCTCGTCGGTTGGGGATGACCTCCCCTCCTCCCTCCCCTCTCTGCCCCTCTCTCCTCATTGCTGACGGCCTCTCTCCTCTCTCCCGTCCGTTCCACAGGATTGAGCGAGATCTGTACGAGAGATATGACCAGTTTGGTGTGGAGCTGCGCGAGCGGGCTAAATGGGACATCCGCGAGGGAATCGTTGGAGCCGAGGCGTTTACTCCCAAACACATTGTCATCACTACGTGGAAGAATGTCTCGTTCAACGGAGGAAACTCAAACTCGCGCGCCCGACGAGTGGTGAGTGTGCCGACTGTTTTCGGTTGACTGTCACCCTCAGTTACCGCTGTAATTGCTCATATAAGATAAAGACAGCACTTTCTTTATTGATTGTCCGTTCTTTTTTCGCCCGTCTATCGTCTCAAAGCTGTATCTTTGATATGGCTGTCACAACGCTGTTATTTACTCGGCTTACATTTATGACACCATACATCAACAACTGTCGCCAGAGAGAAGTCACAATGTTTCATGGTAAGATATGTGTGATTCTGTGCCCACTTCATTACTGCTTTTTATCGACTGTATGCTTCTTTTGCTTTTTTATCCCGTAACGAAAAGACACGCTTATCTGAACCTGTAAAAACTGTCGCCAATTCTCTGAGCAACGTTCCCGATTAACTCATATCGGTCAGGTCAGGTTGAAACGCCATAACTAGCCCCATTTATGAAGTTTCTATTATTTATCGGTACCTGACCCATTATCTCCTCTCGTCAGACGAACACGTTCCAGCTGATGGTTGCGACTGACGAAGTGCGCTCGTATGCGCTCTTCAACTACCTGCACATGGGTTGGACCACGCATACAGAGGCGGGCGGCGACGGCAACGAGGGACAGGGAGGCATTCCTGCTTATGTGAGTTGGAGGGAGGACAGGGGGCCAACCTGCCAATATGATATGTGAAATTGAATGACTCGTGAGTGACACTGTCACGACATGTGGAGATGGCGGAGGTGTATTATCCTTTTTGTTTCATTCGTTGAAACCAGCTTACGAGCTACGACGAAGCATTGTGATTATGTCGTACAGTGAGCAGCGAATAATCGCAACTACTTGTCACCAAAGTCTGCTTCCTTATCACAGATATTTGCTGATTCGCCCGAGCCCTATTTTCACGTGTTTTCTCCTCTCTTAGGTTGGCTTTAATGCCGGTAACGGCACCAGTGCCTACCCGTACACGCCGTACTCTCAGACCATGTACATCCGTGACCTGACCTCGACCGGCATGGCCAACGGCTTCCCCGGTCGACACATCTTCCGCATCGACGAGAAGATCCTCGCCGGCAACTGCCGACATGAACTCTGTGAGTTTTTTATTATTATTTTTTTTAGTTAGAGTGTTAGAGAGTTTTGGTTGGCCTGAGCTTTATGAGAGTGCGAGTTAGGAGTGGCTGGATGAAACTAAGAAACTGAGTTGGTGTTCTAAGATGTGTGGGGTGGTATTTGGCCCTTGATACGGAAAAACGATTAGCTCGTGCATTTAACTGACGCAAGATGGTGTTGCGACAGGCCACATTTTGATAAGCCACTTGTGTAAGCCATTGCTCATGCTGCCGAGCTTTGTATCACTTTTGAACTTCGGCATCGTCCTTGTATGATTCACTCGCGTTACATTGCTCAACGTCGCAGCGATGCTCGCTATCGCGTCAGAACGCTTCACCTGAGATAAGGCTCGAATAAATCATCAGCACTTTGCGTGATCATCCGATCGGCCGTGTATAAACCCGATGACGCAGTGGCTTCCTGCCGCCGGGGCCATCGTCTTATCACAATGTCGATGTCTATAACTCTTGCGCGACTGAAAACTGGTAACTCATGCACTAACGTTCTCTTTCTCACCTGTCTTTTCCATTCCTAGATGGTTCGAACCTTCCACTGGTGTTCGCTCCGGAACAGGGTAACATGCTGGGCGGCAACCTGGTCAACATCTCCGGCCCGTGTTTCGGCCCCAACACGCTGGTCAAGTGCCGCTTCTACGATCGAGAGGTAGAGGGTGTGGTCCGGGACACCAACACGGCCTTCTGCGTGCAGCCGCGCCTCTTCGCCACCGGATTCGTGGACATCGCCGTGTCTCTGGACGGAGGACCCTACTACTGGAAGGGACAGTACTATGTCGGTTAGTGGATCAGTGGAGTGAGGGATGAAGTAAAAGCTCGGTAGAGGATTGGATTGCTTCTTGCTAAAAGATTGTTAGTGCTAGAAAGAGGATCTAGTAGTACGGGAAGGGACAACCATGGTCAGATTTGCGTCTGGGTCTAGGTGATAACTCGAACTCTTAAAGTGTAAAATGTGTCTCAATTACGAACAGCCCATATTTTAACGTCATTGGCCCTTCATTGCTCGCGCCATCATCTGACGCCGTGGTGACCTCCACCCTCTGGCCCTCAGAGACTCCTCTGACATCAGCCGAGACGGTGATGTTCGCCAACGACGACTACCAACTGGCCGAGCCGGGCTCACTGCGCCTGCAGTGGCTGTGGCACAACCTGACCATGGATCAGAGCGCCAAGGTCACCATCTCTCTTTACGGCTACCGGGAGACGACCAACACGCCCGAGCTGGTGTACATCGACACCATAGCGGTGGGTGGATGATGGCGGAAAGGAAACGGGCGGTTGTAACAGCGGGCAGGAGATATGCCACCAAGAACTTGGGTGGGATTGATTTGGATGCTTAGAGAGAGTGCATCAGAAAGAAAGGTCAATCAATCTGTTTGCCGTAAATTTGCTTTATTTATCCTTGCAGGGACAGGCCAAATTAGTTTGATTTCCTAAGTGAATTCTCGTTTACAGAATATTTCAGTAGAAAAAGCTGATGCCGAGTGTTATAATTATAATTCTTTATAGTTATACTGGTAGTTGTAAGTGTTATCCGGGATGATTTGAAGCGGCGTCCCGTTCTCTGGCATGCCATGGTTCCCACAAACGTACACAATCATGTGTTCGTGTAAATCTCTCCCATGGAATTTACCATCAACGTCCTCCGTCCATCGTTCCTATGCGCCGCATTGCAGCTGGATTGACCACACGCTCCCTGACGTCCGCCCGAACACAGGAGGCATGGGGCCGGAAGGCGGCATTTGGCCGGCCGATTGAACTGTCATTGCAACGTCCGGCCAATTATGACTGCCATTTGTCTGTCTGAACGGACAGAAGCATGGGACGAGCTGTCCCTGTGAACAGACAGCCATGGCGACTGATCAGACAAACTTGGTAGCAGTACAGACAATTATTCAGGCTACGCTGAAAGCACAGACGCCATTCACTACAGACTTGCCGTATCTCTGCTCTTAGATGGTTGCCGGTATCAGGCTTATCTGCTCCCCAGTCAGTGACATCTCGCCCTGTCTTGTACAATTAATCCACCCCGCAGCTGCCCTAAGCCGAGTGCTATCTAATCCGACTCTCCGTATCGTATCGATGTATTCTTTTTACGTCACGGGCTGACTTTCTGATAATGTTTGCAGGAGGGGAGCAACGACGGCATCCAGGACATCAGCACGGCCGACTTCATGGGCAACGACAACTGGGACTACCTGGACATCGAGGTCGGGTTGATCCACATCAACCTCACCAATCCAGGAACCTACCTGTCGGGACTGAAGAGCTCACCGTGAGTTTGGGCAGTGGGCGAGGACTGGTAACTTAACGTTTGCTGTATTTGATGTGGTCAAATGTAAACTTAGGTAAGCCTCCGTTTAAGGTCGTTGTTCATCAAGTTGTATTATTGAACGCAAGTGCTGACAAGGTTGAGCTCAAGTGAGTATGCACACACGAAGTCAAAAATGTATTTGTTGTAGTCATGCCTGTTTTTTTTTTGCCGTGTCTTCTAAATAGATAACGAGTTGTTATATGTCCCAAGTTCAAACGATACGAAATAATATTTTCGGAGTTTCTTGAGTGATATATATTGAAAAATTGATAGCAAATATTTCGATACTCGTAGTGGTACCTTTTTCAATGCGAGTGATGCACAGTGCGAGCTTTGTTAAGCACAACAAAATAACACAATTCCCATGCAATCGGTGGAGCTGGGTCCTCCAGTGCAGATAAAATAACCTATACGATACCGCCTTCCTAAGAACTTATACAATATCACTGTCTATCACGGAATTTTAATTAAATATTTAGACAATCAGCGCTAATTTAATAAAAAGAGCGTCACTTCAGTTACAGGTAAGTCACACTTACACAAGGTGACCCCCCCCCCCCTCGCGTGTTCGTTCAGCGTGCCAACCACTATTTTTTTAGCACAATGTCCCATATTGGGCTCAGCTGGACGCCACCGCTGTGGAGATTCATTGACGGGCGCAGCTGTCGGATCTCGATGGCCTCCCTGATTTTACGTTTTTTCCAGTGGCGTTCGATGGCTAGGGTTCTCGCCTCGAACGGGTTCAAGTCACCGCCACAGGTACAAAAGTGTCTGGCCGTCGCTGACGTATCGCAGCGTCCGTGCTTGATATCGGCGGTGTGCTCCTTCAATCTGTCCTGTTTTGGTCGCCCTGACTCTCCGATATAGCTGGAGCCGCACGAGCACTTTATCTCATATACGGCCCCTTTCTTCTTGCTCTGCTCCACGGGATCTTTGACGTTAACCAGGTGACCCCTCAATCGCTTGGATTTGTGAGCTACCTTGATTCTGTGTGGCCTGAGAACCTTGGCTATCCTTTCGCTGAGACCTGGGACGTAGGGCACTGCCGCATAGGCTTCTTGGTCTCTGGCGGCGGCTTCCCCCTGTACGGTCTGGCTGGCGTCACGGCGTCTCATAGCCCTCTTGATAAACGGCTCCGGATAGCCATTGGCTACGAACACATCCCGTATCTTGCTCTTCTCCTCCTTCACACTTGACATGTCGCTGCAGACCCGTCTTGCTCTGGCTTCCATGCATCTTATTAGACCAGCTTTCATGGCCGCGGGGTGGCTCGAGTTGTACTTCAGGTACACGTTTGATGCGGTCGCCTTCCGGTAGACTGAGGTGCCCAGCCGACCTTCTGACCTCTGGACAAGAACGTCCAAAAACGGCAGTTTCTGGTCCACCTCCCGCTCCAGTGTAAACTGGATACTTGGGCAGAAATCGTTCAACCGCTGGTGGAACTCTTGCAGAGCTTCATCGCCGTGAATGAAGCTTCATCTTCTTCATCGCCGTGAATGAAGCTTCGTGAGCGAGCTTCATCGCCTCCCTGATTTTACGTTTACGGAAAAAACGTAAAATCAGGGAGGCCATCGAGATCCGACAGCTGCGCCCGTCAATGAATCTCCACAGCGGTGGCGTCCAGCTGAGCCCAATATGGGACATTGTGCTAAAAAAATAGTGGTTGGCACGCTGAACGAACACGCGAGGGGGGGGGGGTCACCTTGTGTAAGTGTGACTTACCTGTAACTGAAGTGACGCTCTTTTTATTAAATTAGCGCTGATTGTCTAAATATTTAATTAAAATTCCGTGATAGACAGTGATATTGTATAAGTTCTTAGGAAGGCGGTATCGTATAGGTTATTTTATCTGCACTGGAGGACCCAGCTCCTCCGATTGCATGGGAATTGTGTTATTTTGTTGTGCTTAACAAAGCTCGCACTGTGCATCACTCGCATTGAAAAAGGTACCACTACGAGTATCGAAATATTTGCTATCAATTTTTCAATATATATCACTCAAGAAACTCCGAAAATATTATTTCATATTCATTATAACTTGAGGAAAAGGTAGCATGACTCTTAAGTCATACATTTCAAACGATACCTACTTACCGTCTCGTTACGTTTCTTCTAGTACGCTATGGAGTCGACCGGTGCCGCTAGCCTGGTACTTCGGGCCGCAGTGGGAACGAGTCTACGGCTCCGAATGGGCGGCGCGCGTCTGTAACCGCTGGATCGAGAACGACAGAAACCTCAAACACTTTGCCGGAGAGGTGAGTGCTTAGGAAGGCCGGCAGCGGGGAGGGCGTTGAGTTGGCCTGCGACTGTAATGTGACCTCCAGAGCCCGTAGTAGTCTCATATACTATCAGGCTCATGTCCTAAGCTGCCCAGTAGCATGTGTCTTATCTAGTGGCGTCTGACCTTTTAAATAACCTGGGTCTAGTCTGGTGACCTGCGACTCTCCCGCTGACCTCTCTCCCTCCGTTTGCAGGTGATCCGCTGCCCATGCCGAATCGAACAGGCGGTGGCCAACAAGGGTCTGTACGTGCCCGACTTTGACTGTGACCGAGACGGGAACACGGCCTGTGACGAGCACCGCGGCGCCATCCACTGCGTCAGAGCCGGCATGGTCAAGTGAGTGATACAAGAATAGCATAAAAGCATGGTAATTACGGTAATATCAGGTAAAGCGAGCATGGCATTGTAGAGTAGGTCGACAGGGTATAGGAATTAGGAAACTTCATGAAATTTGACACTTAACTGTACGCAGTCACTGCGGTGCGGTACTACCTGCACTTAGCAGTATGACCCGGTGCTGGGCGCACTACGGTACGGCACAAGCTTTCGACGAGGTAACTAAAGAGGATAGATCTCTTTAACCTTAATTGACTATTTTTTATAGTTTGCTACGATTGCCCTCGTCCATCACTATATTTTGGGAACAAGAATTACATTGAAATATGGAAAAACTGGCAGCTCCAGTTTGCGCCTTTACTTAGGCCTTGGAGCGTTTCTGACGACTTCACGATCCCGTTACAGTAACGACGGCGCCGGCCAGCAGTGCTGTTACGACATCGACGGCTACCTGATGATGACCTCGGACACGATGTGGGGCGGCAACCCGCACCGGGCCCACAACCTCGGCATGCGACCCTTCTACGAGTCCAACAAGGTGGGGTTGGAGAACAGTGACAATAGAAAAGGCTTAATGCTAATGGCGGTCCGAGTGACTTTATCGATATGGAATCGTGGCTTGTGCTTATTTTGTATCATACTGCGTAAACTTTCGTGTAAGGTTTTGTTGCACTTATCTTTCGATCGCTGGTGGAACGTTTTTATTGTTCGTGGAGCAGATACTGTCAGATACTCAGTCGACAATTCGTGAAACATGTATTTAAAAACGAGGTGGCTCCATTCTACTCGTTTTTTTTTTTTTTTTTGGTTAGGCTCTTTCGGTCCAATGAGACCATTTCAGAGCCGGGAGGATGATAGGATATAGGGGGAGACATTGGTCTGGGCAGGCACCCTAGTGAGTCACCGGGGCTGACCCCGTCCAGAGGACAGGCCACCCAGCCCCAAGGTACTCACTGCACCCGGCTACGGGGTGCGCTCCCTCGGGAGCAGCGGTGCCGCTCCAAGGGAGCAGCCCGCATGGGATAAAGTTGCCTGTCCAGCCCGGAGGGGGCTGCGGCGTGGAGAAGGATTTCTGTATCCTGAGTATAGAAGCATGGAACGGTGATTCTACTCGTGTTGACCTGACCTCGTGTTGACCTGACCCCGTGTTGACCTGACCTGACCTCTTCTCTCCCCCTCCAGATGCCGTCGCTGTCTCACTGGTACCACGACGTGGCTCCGTTCTACTCGTGCTGTCGGTGGCAGGGGGAGCAGAGCCAGGGGTGCACCACTTACCGGTTCGAGAGGAGGGCCTCCCAGGACTGTGTCGGCTACCAGCCGCCCTCTGCCGGTGAGGGGATCAACCTCTAACTCGGTTTGCGACCGGGGGTGGCGCTGATCTGTCACTTGTTTGTTTTCGACTTTAAAATGTGTGACATCTATTGCCGAAAGCACAGCGAGGTAAACGGGCGTGACATTTTGTGAATGCTCCATTTGGATGCTGCAAGCATCGTGCATGAGCCGACCTTAATTATTGCAGCCTACGAATACTATTCCTCATTCTTTTGTTCGTATACGAGTATGCCATTCATTTGGCGGCGCTGGCGTCGATTTTCGTCCGATGCTTCATTACAATGTATTTAGGTCTTAATAGGACCCTTCTATGCAATCTGCGCTTACTGCAATTATGTATTGCTGTTTTATCGTGCACTTATTACTTACGCTCGGTTCTTCTCCGACAGCCACCGTGTTCGGCGACCCGCATTTCTACACGTTCGATGACGTCCAGTACACGTTCAACGGAAAGGGCGAGTACGTGCTGACGCGGGTGAACACGAACCGGAACCAGCTGGACGTTCAGGCCCGGTTCGAGCAGGCGCCCGACAATGAGATGGGGCCCGTGTTTGCCACTCAGCTGACCGCCATCGCAGGTCAGTGGGGAGGAGATGTCTCCTTATCTCGGTGGAGGGGGAGAGCGGGAAGGGAGAGGTGAATGGTACGGCTGGCTGATCGCTTCGTTGGGTTGTAGGAATGTTCTTGGTAAGTGGTGTAAGCAGAATCACGAAAATACATCTATATGTACATATATTCTTGATAAGCATGCTTTCTTGTCGTTATTAAAATGTTCGTTAGCCACTTCAATACAAAAAGCAAAAATATGTTATTTTTTATTTATGATTTGATATCAAGTTCTGCCCAATGATATTTTTCTAACAATGATATTTATTCCGACAGCTCGTGACAACTTTTCGACGACGGTGGAGATCCGTCTGCGTCCCACCGAGGCCCAGTGGCGCTACAAACTGAACGTGCTCGTCAACCAGAAGTACCTCTACTTCGACAGATACCCGGAGAAGATGCAGATCTTCAGAGGTGAGCAACAATCGGCCACAAACACGCCAATCCAGTACTTGCCCTGGCCAGCGCGATACACTGTCAGTCAACTGTCTCTTCTAACCTGCCCTGACCTGACCTCTGACCTGTGACCCATCTGGCAGGTATGCTGGTGTACGTGCCGACCTACATCCACAACCAGTCGCAGGTGATCGTGCTGTTCCAGTCGGGAGCCGGTGTCGAGGTGCTGGAGAACCAGGGACAGATGGCCGCGCGGCTCTACCTGCCGCTCACGTTCATGGCAAGCAATGATTTATAGTTGATGGGATTCTGCTTGAAAGGATGGTTGAGCGAGGAATAGCTTGAAACGACGAATGGGTTGGTCTGGGGGATGTTAAAGCTGCTGAAGATTAAGATTAGTGGGGGGGGGGGGACGTGTATTCCAAGGGACCATGGTCCATGAGGCTCCATCGAAAACACATCGTTTATCGTTCGTTTAAATTTACGGACTTTTATCGCACATGGTTCATGGGCGAATTCTTGATAAACAAAGCGGCGATAGTGGCAAAAGCAGCAGCGTTTATCGTGGCAAACCATCGATCCTGTTTAGTTGAATGCCAATATCCAATCTCCTAATACTCATCTTACGAACCACTGCGCTTTATTTCAGAATCAGACAAAGGGTCTGTTTGGCAATTGGTCCAACGATCCGGGCGACGACTTTGTTCTGCCAGACGGCACCCAGGCTAATGTGGACATCCTCAACTCAGAGTCCATCTACGAACGATTCGGATTGCAGTGTGAGTAAGAACGCGTTGTGATTTCTGATAGCATATTTTCAGCATACGTATTTGACATACGCTACTGGATAATATATATGTTACGTCCTTTATTAGCATTTATCATCGTCATGTTATTTAAACATGTAAAATACGATGGCGATTGAAAGGAACTAAATTAGTATGCCGATTAAAGGGGATTGTGCTCCTAATTTAGTAAAGGAGACCTTTCATGTCTGAAAAAGAATGCCTGTCTTTCTTGTAACTCCCTCGTTCAGTATAAGCATGTTGTCTGTTGTCGTTCATTCGTCCATAGAGCAGCATCTTCCAGATGCCTGACCTTGACCTCGTTTTCAGGGATGTTGGATGACAAGGAAGACCCGTACCGTGGCGGGTCACTCTTCTACCACGAGAACGGACGCTCCTCCAGTAACTATTACGACCCGGACTTCCTGCCTGAGTTCGAGAAAACGCCGGATATTCCCGATAACAGGTGAGTTTGTCGAGACACAGTGGTGTAAGCTATGGGAAGACAGAGAGTTGGGACGCTGGCGGTGGTGTGTTGTGGTATGGTAGCGATGTGCGTGAGTTCCGATATTTTACTGATGGTTTGTCGTAACCAGATAACCGCGTTTGGCAAACGTAGTAACCAATTGACTTTACGGACCAAGCTGAGAAACGTCAAAAATTAAAAAGTATCGGAAATGACCTGTGACTCGGCATCTACTCAACCAGCTGTTTCTTAACGACCCATGACTCGCTTTCGGTTAGGGCTGCTTTCGATTCGATCGGTCAGCGTCCTGTCCTCCCCAACTCTGCCTTTGTAATATGTTCTATCTTATCCGACCCCCTGTTGGAAATATTTACCGCTCTGTCTCCTCTCCGATCTGATGTCCCTGACCTGTGACCTTTTCCGTCAGCACGCTGGATGTCGAAGAAGTGAAGCGGGTCTGTGGTAGCTCCTACCAATGCGCATACGACTTCATCATGACGGAGCGCAGAGACGTGGCCGTCTTCACCAAGTTCTACCAGGACGAGTTCGTCAACATCAAGTCCAGCGGACTGGAAACAAGTCAGTGGCTAAATGAGATTATATGGCGATATTTATTTGTCGACTGCCGCAAATTTTGTGTGAAATGCAAAATACGAAAGAAAGCCAAAATAATATTGGTTAGATTCTAGGTCATATGCCAATGACGTTGCGATTGGACCACCGACCAGAATTAACCACCTCAAGAGTTGCTGCAGACAATGACCTCGGTATCTGACACGCCCCTATGTCTCTTCTCTCCCCTCTGACCCTTGACATACCCTCCCTCCCCGCAGTCATCTCGTGCGGCGCGCTGCCGACACCGCAGAACGGTCGCAAGAACACGTTCGCGTTCACGCCGGGCACGATGGTGAAGTTCGAGTGTGACCCGGGCTACATCCTGGTCGGGGAGGCCCGCCGCTGGTGCTACGCCTCCGGAGACTGGAACTGGCCGGAGGACGGCGAGGTCAACTGCATGAGTGAGTGTGACGCCGCGGCGGGTGGAGGCTGAGGTGTTTACAGAGCTACTGATGCTCTTTGATGCGATGATTATGTGGTTTAATTATTACCTTTGATATGTCAAGATGCACAACTAATTCATTTGTTGCCCTGCCTCTCACGAACCTCAGCGCTTAATTTTGTGTAGTATAGTCATTTTGGTATATGGGGCATTCCACGATAGATCGTACCACTTTTTCCAATTTGACACCCTCATCTCTCGGAATTTGACGAAAATTGGTTTCAGGGGTAATCAGGGGCTCTGAATCTACCTGTAACAATTTTAGGCTTATCAGATAAGTATTTTTTGAGTTATGGCGATTAACATTTTTTGGATCTTGCTTTGCAGCGCTAAGTTTGGCGGGCTGTAACTCTAAGACGGATTATTCAAATGCCAAATGTTGGATAACATTGAACTTGCAATGAAACAGAGATTAATATGTATTTTTGAAATTTCGAAAAATACGCTATTTTTTAAATATGACATATCGAGTTATCTTTCATTTGTATTTTTGGACTTTGGGACCAATTTTTTTTTGAATTTTTATTTCTTTAAAAAATATTTAGCTCATTGTTAAGAATCGTGCAAAAAATTAGGAAGATGTTCTTTCTATAAATGTATTTATTTTACGTCACGATAACGGTTTCGAATAGTGATTTTGGGAGGGGAGCTTACAAATGGCGTGGTAAAGCTGCCTAGTGACATCACGGGTTACTGAAATTTCAATTGAATTCTTAGTCATCTAAAAAAAATGAAAAGAGGGTTCATCCAACCGGCCTCTTTCCTATAAGCGCGAGAGTGAAAAAGGCTGTTTGGTTCTGACATTGTTTTGGACACCAATGACCATAGCTGTCCGGGATAAAAGTTACAGGACGCATACATGGTGTCCTCCAAAGGTCTCACAACTTATATATCTGGGAATTTTTGAAGGTCACATGAGTCACGTGACATCACTGTTATAAGTCAATGGGGAAATATAAAATCTGTAATTTTGGCGCCGATAATGATCTAAAACTATCTCACGTACATGGTATCGTGATTTCATGCACTCCTTGCAAAGTCCAATGCTTCACTTTTGCATTGTTAACCTTGCGTGACGTCATTTATGACGTCACTAGGGTCGTACGAGTTTTTCGTCAATAACTCCCGATTAAATTGAGCTAGAGAGTCGGGAAAGCCACCAATGGACTCGGGAAGACCTTCCGAATCGAATGATATGCCATATGATACCCTTTGCCCAGCTTCGTGACCTGAGGGGCTCTGACCTGACCTTGGCCCGAGGTCAACTACTTAAGTTGACCTCACCCTAACAAAAAGTATACCATTCGACGCACCTGAGCTAGGCGAACACAATGATGCCAAAATCGCGGCTCTGCGGCCATTTTTCCGAAGTTATTTACTAAAAACCGAACCCGTAACTTCAGTCACTTGACCTGACCTCAGACGCTACCGGTTAACCTGAGACCTTAAAATTGAGTACCAATCGCTGCGACTTGTCACGGCACACACGTTCGTTTTTTCCGCGAGGCTCTACCTCTATTAGAAGCAAAACGGCGTGCTGGGGTCGTATCAACCCCTCCGAAACCCATTTTGTTTGCGGGAAAATGAGGAACTTATAGAAAGAACTCCTTTCTAATTTTTTGCATGTCGATTTGCAATGACATGAAGTTTATTTTGAAAAAATAAAAATGTGAACAATTTTGGTCCCAAAAGTCATTAGAGGCAAATGAAAAAAGATTAAGGTTTTTGCTCAACAATCAAAATTTTTCTTAAGAATTTTTAAAAAGTAATATCAATTTTTGGTTCATCGCAAGCTTAGTGTTGTTTCCCGTTTGTTGGTTGCATAACCCGTTCTTGAGTTATAGGCCATCAAACTCACCGTTACAAACCGAAGTTAAAAGATGTAATGCAATATAACTCAAAAAGTTTTGATCTGAGAAGTCTGATATTTTGCCAGGCGTCTTTGGGGCCTATGATTACCCCTAGGACCGATTTTCATTAAAATCTGAGAGATGAGGGTGACGGGCCTGGTACGATCTATCGTGGAATGCCCCATATACGAGTACCATATCAGATTTGCAAAGCTTTACAACAGTCATGAGATTCAGTGAGATTCACTGTCCATCTGCTTGACCAAACATCTCCCCAGTGACTACCCTGGAGTCTTACAACCACGCCTCCTTCCTCCCCAGGCGAGGCCCAGTACAAGACCATGTACGTCGGCATCCAGGCGGGCATTGTGTTCAGCATCCTGATCCCGATCGTGGCGGCGCTGGTCTGCTTCGGCTTCCACCTGAAGAGCCAGGCTGACGAGATGGACAGGGAGACCGTGGGCCGACACGCAGGCTACAACGTGGCCAGGGGGTAAGTTCGGCGATCGGTGCAGAAACGCTCCAACAGAGACGACAGGGGAGCCTATGCTCCCGTAGTGTAACCACGGCTTTTGGTGTGTGCTTTTTGTAATGCCCAATAACCCATGACTAACATGGGATGCTAGTTTGAACTGTGTGTAGTGCTTCCTGACTTCTTCGCTCCGGTCATTTCTTGGTGTAGTGTAGTACGGTGGATTAGCTTGTTCTGCATACATACGTGTTCAGCAACGTATTCCTAGATTAGAGTACAGTCGACCTTTTACTTCGTTATTGTTAAGCATGCTACGTATAGTTGTCATTATTTGATGTAGTTTAGTGTAGTAAATCAATCCACTGTAGCAAAGTAGTGCATCCTTCTTCCGAAGGGTAGACAGTAGCTATTAGAGATGTCAATCGGATACCAACTTTTTGGTATACCGATACCAAACCGATACCAACTTGGTACGAGTATTTGGTATTTCAATCGTAATGTGTTGGTATTTTGTTGATACCATTAAGCCCTCACTAATGTATAAGAGGCTAAGAAATCGGTAAAAAGTTGGCATTTCCCTCAGATTCCCAAGTTGGTTTGGTTTCGGTATTTTCCCGTGGTTTTGGTTGGTTTTTGGTTTGGTATCGGTTTTCCGATTTTCCGTAATTGACATCACTAGTAGCTATTGCCTTCCGTCGCAGTGCTGACCGGTAGCGCGGCGCCGCTCCACAGATCGAGCCGCAGCGGCACCTCCTCTGAGCCCTCCACCCTGGTGAAGGCCCCGCCGCCGGGAGGCCGGCAGCAGCAGCAGCAGTTCGGGGCGCCCAACATGGACTCGTCGCCACGCGCCGAGCGCCACGAGATGCCTGTCCGATACGAGTCCTCGTACTGAGCGGACACGTGGCGCCACGGGTGCCACGGGCGGGCGGGGGTGCCGGCACGTGCCGACCGGTGGATGTTGTGAGGGACTGACGGTGTCCGTGGGTACACCGGGTGGCGCCGACAAATGCGCGTGTGTCTGTGTTTGTGTGTTGTGCGGTGTGAGCGTGGGTAGGTAGGCTTGAGCGATGTTTGTACCGGACTGACGCTGGATCAATTGTTGGGTTCACGCGAGGTGTTACTCGTGAAACAAGAGTGTCAACTACTTGGATCGTGTGAAGAGAGGTGTGTATGCTGTGTTTCTTATTTAGTCGCGACTCGCAGGCGGGTGCTGGCGGCGTTTAGAGCTTAGTGGCAGCAGCCATGGCGGCTACGGTCGCTCATTTTATTTACTAACGCTTCAAAGCTTTTTAGAACCTTTTCTGTCGTAGCATTTTCTTTCTCATACTCATTTCTATCTTAAATTTGAAATCGATTTGCTGCAGCTTTGTCACTATCGCGTATGCATCACATAACAGTCTGTTTTGTCAATTTATATTTAAGGACAGCGATGAAATGTTGGTAGCGTTTCTGACATGCGTTGTAGCCTCTATATTATCACCTTCTCTATACTATCTGCATGCTATTATCTCTCTCTCTCATCTTCATCTTCTGTATGTCTGAAATCGCCTGCCAACGCATCATTATGATCATTTTCTTCCATTTATATCGGTGCCCGGTTTATGGGCCGGAAAGAACGCTAAGTGTTGACGCCATGTCTGACTCTGACTCTGTATAGATGTTCAAAACCACGCCGTATTGCGAGTATCGAGCTGCCATACTAAGCATTTAACGCTCGGCTCCGTCTTTGTATTTTCTGTGCAAGCTACAACCCCTGTGGTTCGACCTATGTAAGGAAGTGCTTTCGTGTCAGGCGATGAGTAATAGCTTACAGCGTTTTGTAACATACGATCAACGTGATTTCGTGTCCCGTTTTAGTAATAAACGTACAACATCTGTTTTTGTTTTGTGGTCTAATCACACGCAACATGGGCCTGTTTCACTAACGAATAAAACTTGTATTTACAAAGAAAAAGCTTGAGTTTACAAGAAATAATTACCAACATTTGAGATTTGGATTTCACGAAACCTTTGAACATGAATTTTGAGTTTAAAATTTGCAAACTTTTTTACAAGAAAAAGTTTGCTAGAAAACATGGGAATCGCAAACTTTCTGTTTCACGAAGACCAGAAACTTGAAAGAAAACATCGTAATTACAAACCTGAAATTCCAGTGGTCCTGACGTTCGGAATTTTAATACTTTTTTTTTGCAATAATGCAAAACAGTCATATATTTAGAACAACTATGCTTTGTTGAGTCGTTTTATGCTCTTTTTTTACTTAGCACACACCCTAAGAAGCAAAATGATCAGTATTTTTTTTATTTTTTTTTTTAGTGGCCCTAACTTACGTTACCGGCCTCGCGAGGAGGGCGGCGACCTAACTACGCCGCGCAAAAGAAACCGGCCGTCCTAACTAAGACCCATGGGCGGCGCCACCGGGGGGGACGGGGGGGACAGGTCCCCCGCTATCGAAAGTTAGGGGGGTACAGTACCCCCCTATCGGCGAGGCCCGTTCAATAGTTGATAACAATGCATTATAGAGCTATCCGTCGCATTTAATGCATCGTTGGTTAATCAAGGCAGGTTCTGAATAAAGATTGCTGTTGGGATGCATCGCAGGGGGTCCTGGCCATCTGCAAAAGGTGTGGAGCTGTGATGCCTGTAGTTATAAGGTGATCGGCAGGGCCTCGGGGATCGTGCCCCCTTTTTGGGGCGCCAGGCAGGGTTATTACCTACTTATTACCTCCCCACCCCACTGCCAGACCCCATTGCCGATAATACCAAGTTCACTGAAATTCCATAGATTTCCGTTACTATATGAAAATTTTCCATTCCTAATTAGTCAAATTCAAGCATGGCAGTTCTACCACAGGAACCATTTGAAATCTATGCCATTTAACCCCAGCACTTGTGGGAAAAAGTGTTCGGATAGATCACAGGCAGGACCAAAAAAGCACGCAGTAGCCCAAGACCTTATAATTGGATATAGCATCGGCTCCCCCAGGGTGAAACAGACCAGTCAAGAAACCTGTTCCATAAGAAGAGCCACTAATGCTAAAGAGATGTGGGATGAGGTTTCCAGAGACCTTCATTACCTTCCAAAGGGGGTGCCCCGCCATTTGCCAATCCCTGCTGTAGTTGTTACGATTGGAGGGTGAATATGAGAACGATGCAGGTCGTGCCAGCTCGATCATGACGAACACAATGGTGCCGACATCACAGCTCTACTGCCATTTTTGACGAAGTTAATCAACAAGGACCGGAATCCTACCCTGGGGCATTTCACCTGCAGAGGTCGCCGGACCTGAGACCCTTTCACTCAATTTTTTCAACGGTGCATGCGCTCGTTTTTCCCGCGAAGCTCTTGGCAAGTAAAATCCATCAGAAAGTGTGATCAAATAACGGCTGGTGACCTTCCATGACCTAGCATGGCCTTTTGAGTGACCACCGATGACATGACCACTGACGGCTAGCCATTAGCTGCACCCTGCCCGTTGCATATGGATCAGGTGGTGATGTCATGATTCTGAAATTATATTGCGGTTTTGGCGCACTTGTCAGAGCAGAAGACATTCCCACTTTTCCTCCATGACTATATGATGGTGAAGCCCTGAAGCTGACCAGACGTAAGATCGAAAATTTGAAAGTACGAAACGTAAGAATAGCTGGCACTGCTACTCATACCTAAGCAATTCGCAGCTTGTAGGAAACCAGCTTTGAGTTGGCAAGACTGCAAATTTTGATTTAGAGGCAAGGATGCTTGAAAAGGTGATCGATCTTAGGGTGTCCTACTCCTAGGATAAGTTTGGAAGCGGGATGCACCATTCGATGTGTTTTGGGCCTTGCCAAGTTTCGCGGCGTTACGTGCCTCGTTTTTTTTTTTTTGCATACACGATCAGTATCTACTTTTGGGATTTTCGATTTTCGGTCCCCGTCCCCCCCTATCGAAAACCCGTGGCGCCGCCCCTGCTAAGACCGGTGGCCACTTTTACTGCAAGACAACATGGGAAAACCCATATCCATGTACTATGCCATGAATATGGGGAAAAACCCATGAATTTACGTTAAGACACATAAATGACAGTGCGACTTACCGTTAAATTGATGTTTGTGAGGGGAGGGAAGGAGGAAGTTTGTGAATGGTAGGGTTACGATGTTACGATAAAGTTGGATGATAGGAATGGTTTGAAGAGTGGGGGATATGTCGCTGCCGCTGTTGAAGGCCGATTGCTGTACCCGGGCCTGTGGTCGCCCAAACCCGGCCGCTGCCGCTGTTCAGCGGCCGGGTCCGTGACTGTAGAATCCTTGGCCGCTGCTCGTCGTTGTGCAGTGGGTGAAGGGACAGTCCCAGAGTATGTGGACAGTCCCTTGCGATGATAGCGAGAAGGAGGTCAAGTAATGGTGCATACTTTACAGTTTGTCGGAATAAGGTGAGTTTAAGACAAAATCAAGTACAAGATCAGTTAGTGCTGGATCATCTCCGAGAAGAGTCGGAAGATCGTTTCTGAGGCGATATTTTGTAAGGTGGTTGTTGATATGTTTTCGTTCGTTGCGGAGGGCTGTGCATCCGATTAGAATGTGTTCAACCGTAATGCGTGTGTTGCATGTTTGGCATATTGGTGGGTCCGTCCTTTCGAAAAGATGACAGTGGGTGAAACGAGTATGTCCGCATCGTAGCCTTGCCAGTGTAACCTCGCGAATCCTATTTGGCTGGTTACAAGTTGTCCAGGATGTAAGATTTTGCTTGATCGCATATAAATGAGGAGAGTGAGTTTGATTCCATTTGTTTTGACTGTTTGGCGTCTCCTCCTCATCGGTGAGATTCTCTGTTTGCTCACGACCTGTCGAGTCATCAGAGTCGAGGGCCCTGGACCGCAGTATCGGAGTTACTGGGGAGGGGTCAGTGAGCAAGGGGGTTCTGTCCTGCTCGATCTCTCCGTTCAGTTCTGATGTTTGGGCCGGGGGGCGACCCTCGGTGCTTTCACGCACGAGCTGGGGCCCCTTTGTTGGTTTGGTTGCAGGAGCCTGTGAGAGAGAGCTGTAGGACGCAGGTCGGGGCTTGGGAGCAGCTCGCCGGGACCTGTCACCAGAAGGGCCAGCTGTTGGGGTAGTCAGCTCTGGCCAATCGCGCTCCTGGTTGAAGGGACTGGCCTGAGGGACCACCCTTGCTTGGGTCCGGGTTTGGTTGGACGACTGTGGGGCTACACCTCGAAGCTCATTGGCCTTTTCCTTCCAGACAAGGCACTCTCTGCTGGTGACTGGGTGGGGGCCTCCACATGCCGCACAGCATGGTGGGGCATCACAGCCAAGAGTTGGATGGTCTCCAGCACACCTTGCGCATCTTTCCGTGCGAGCCCTGCACGTGCCCCTGCCATGTCCATATCTCTGACACCTGGGGCAGCGTCGAGGGAGTTGGTATGAGGGCCTCACCTCGTACCGCACATATACAGCATAGAAGTGAGCTGGAAGTTGCGTTGCAGAGAACCTGACTTTGAGAAGCGGGTTGGGTTTGTTGTTTTTGGAAGGAAGTCGAGTGATGCTCACTACTCCCTGGTCGCGGCTTTCATGGAGGATAGTTTGAGGCGATTCTGTCATGAGCTCTGGGGCATACACAATGCCCTCAACCTGATTAAGTCGATCAGCAAGAATCACAGATATTTCGTCCTCTCCGAACGAGGTCCATGCCAGAAGCGCATCAGTCTGTTTGGCATCCTGTGTTTGAACTAGAAGAGTTCCACTTCGCAGGGCAGAGACTTTGGCTGCTGGGTAATACAGAACCTTCAGAAGTTCATCCCGGATTTTGTATGGGCTAAAATTTCGAAAGCTTTTGTCTTTGTTTTTGAATCTAGCAAGAACGTAGGCTGGGCCGCCTGGGACAAACTTTCCTTCCAGCGTGGCAGTGACCGCCTTGGAGAAGGCAGGCGGCATGGTCAGATAGAGAACAAAGGACCTTGATTATGAAAAGTCTCTAGAATAGTAAAGAAGAAAGCGAAAAGAATGGACAATACGACCTGATGAAGTAGACAAGATGGCGACGTGCAGACGCCAACTTCAACCAACGCGCACGGAAAACTTCAAAACCGAAAACTAAGTACCAAACAGAGGCTCCAAGAAATTTGTGATTTGTGAGATAAGAGAACTGAGCCGAGAAAATATCTATATCGCAACACCTATCGCAAAAATATCGAATAACTCCGACACGCGAGCTAACCACGTGGCTGAGCACAATGATCGGTATTAAAATATCGTCATGTTTTGTCATTCGCGCGCCATAATTGCATTCAACAGTCTTCTGCTGTCAAATGTTTTGCGTGTTATTTTCTTTCAATAATAGGACAATGTGAATTATCATTTATATCTTTTTCCAACAGCATCATTATTTATAGTTTAATTAGGCATCTTTTGACATGAATACTAGACTATATTTGATACAAAGAAGCAATATCTTTAACATGCTATAGTTCTTGATTCATAACAATTTTACTGTTTACAAGTTTATTTGCAAACATTTTCTTATCGGAGGTGCCACTGGCGATGAAGCTTAGTGAAATCGGTTTTTACGTAGTTGGTAAAAATACTTATGAATTGTAAACTACAAACACTTGTAAATACAAGTTTTTAGTGAAACAGGCCTCTGATCTCTATTTACAACGGCCCTGCGAGCCAAGTCCCAGCCCAGCCCGATTTGCCGACTTATTGTGATGTAAATTGTCAACCCCCGTTGCGCTCAAATCTGGCCCCCGTTGCGCTCAAATCTGGCCTCTATCTGGTCCACTGATGTTCAACTGCACTGGCGGATCAGGGGGGGGGGAGGCATTTGGGCAAATGCCCTCCCCGGGGCGCCCGTATTTGACGAAAATTTGCGGTTTTTCAAGAATGGAACGAAAAGTAAACAACTTTTATCAAGAAAAGTTTCTTTTAACTGCTTAGTAGTGCGTAGGGAATCGAAATCCGAAGAGTTTTTTTTTTTTGCTATTTAACCCTATTCCTGGCGGGCTCCGCCGGGACAAGAAACTGGCGGGGGGGGGGGGGGGCGATTCGGCCCCCCCCCTGAGATCTCGAGAACGAAGCAAGATAGCGACAAGCGGTAAACGGCATCGGATACGCACGGCCAAGATCTACAATTTTTACAAAGGTCATTTTCAGGTCAGGTCAAAGATGACGTCACAGGGGTCGAAAAAGTCAAAATGGCGGCACTAGATATGGAGAGAGTTTTTCTCGAATAACTTTCGAATTAGTCAAGATAGGAACAAACTAAGGGCATCATCGTGATCCTCTCGTCAATCCGCATCGAATGATATATATGTTGACCTCGAAAGGTCAAGGTCAAAGGTTGACCTCAGGTCACGTGACCTCGAGGTCATCATGTATATCATTCGATGCGTCTTGACGAGCTGAACACAATGAGACCATCCACGCGTCTGTATCTTGTTCCTGTACGGAGTTATTGGCCAAAAACCTTTGGTGACCTTTGGTGACGTCACATGACCTCACAGCTGCCCAACAGCAAAACAGACCTCAAGGTAGTGAAGGTTGATCGTATATGAAGTCATGTATGGTATATGGGGCCATTCCGACCCGTTTTAGTGGTAAAAACAGGGAGTTGATTTTTCCCCCATTGACTTATAATGGGGAGGTCGCGAAATTGACCTGACCTTAGGTCACCGATATCAAAATTCCGAGATATACAAATTGCACATACTGGTACCCTAACTAAACCCTGAAGAGAAGAAATTGATCGGTCAAAAACTCTAGCTCTGGCGTGATTGCAAACTTTTATGAGGTAGCGTCACCAAACCGCCTCTGGTGACCTGACCTGAGGTCAGATCAACTCAAAATTTTCAGACATGTTGCGTAGAAGCCTTTAAGGAAAAGTCAGAAAATTTAAGCTTCCTAGCTCAACGCGTTTGGGAGATATAACCAAAAAACCTCAGGGGGGGGCTCCTGAGGCCCCCCCCCGCCAGGAATAGGGTTAAAGGGACCCTCCCACCTTCAAAAAAGTTTATGAATTGGCATTAAAGTGATGTCGCTCGGTTCAGAAAGAGCGAAAACGAATATCTACCAAATTTCACCGAAAAATATACCGGTTTTCAAGATATTAGACTTTTACTTTTGTTTACTTTTTTGGGATCTCCGCTGTTTCTAGCGACTTTATTTTAGAAGTGCGGCGTTTGCGGCAGATGTTGCGCGCAAATAGCATATACCACCGCGTGCTACAAAACGTTTTAGTCAAACATTTAAAAATCGTTAGATATTTGCGCTGACGTCACACATTCAGAGGGGTATTCCTAAGCATTAGCCCCTCTGAATCAAAATGCTGCAATTTTGAAATTCAATATTTCCGATTTAAGGCATTTCTCGATGTTGTGAGTGCCGAAACCGGTAATTGTGAGCCAGGGACCCCATTTTGGCTATCTCAACTCAAATCTAATGTTAAGGTGGGAGGGTCCCTTTAATTTGGATAAACTTTTTTGGTGGTGTGCTACCGGAGCATCCAAAGCCCACAATCCCCCCCCCCCCCCTCCCTCCCCCCGGTGTCAGAGACCTTTACGCGATCAAGGCACACATACGGCCAGATGCGTATGTAGAAAAAAAACAATGCTAAATGCTGAAACAATGCAGTGTGCTTAATGCTTTTTGGCAATGTTGCACAAGCCCCACAAGCCATAGATCGAGGATGGGAGCACGAACCATAATTTTATTCGAACAATTATTTCCGATTTCCGATTTCCGAACCGCACCATAGCTAAATGTTCTATACTCGGATAAAATAGCTTTTCGATTTCTCCGGAATCGGGAGTGCAAAGGTTATTAGTTTCTCCTACGCAAAAGTTCTTGATCGCGATATTGCTGCGCGAGCTCGTCGGAAAATAGAAAGGCGACGTCCTAGGGCGTTTTGCTCGATTTTTTTCATTTTAAAACTATTCTTTATATTTCATGTACTCTGTGATAAAGCAGAAAGGTGAGGATAAGTTGCTATAATTTTTTCTTGCGAGTACAATCCTTGAAATTTGTTGTGTGGTGCCGGTGGACGCCATTGCAGGTAGGGCCGGCGCCTTCAACATTTATTGGAAATAATTTTGTTTTCTCTTTGTGACTTGTGCTTCGCGATAAAGGGAACATGAGATACATTTTAATTGAACTTTGAACTTGCCGTTGCTCTTAAAATATTATTGCTGTTAGCCCATGTCAAAGTCATCCTTTGTCTTTGTTTGCATTTATGCAATGGCATGCTGATGCTGATGCCTTCATTGCACTGCTGAATGCTGAGTAGATACCTAAGTATAAACATGCTAGGTATCCAAGTAGCAGTTCTAGAATCACTTAAAAATGCCATTCTTGGAATTATGTAGAATTAGTAGATTAAGCATTCATTGCAATTTAATTGTCAAATATTGCTGTTAATCAATTGCATTTTATTTGTCTTCGCAAGAATACCGCAGTCCTCGCGTCGTGTTGTGCAGTTGGGAAGTTGCCGGAGACGTTTGCTGTTTTGACATTCATCGCTGTCTGGGAATCACAGGTAAATTTTATCTCTTCAGCAGGAATGAAGCAGGAACCCGAGGAGCCAGTTCAAGTTGTTGCCCCGCGGCCCCAGCCACGGGCCCGGATCATTCGACGCGTGCCATGTGGATCGCGTCCACCAGTGAAGCGGCGTCTGTTCGCGGTGGGCGGCGCCTCGCAGCCGGGCAGGGTCCGCCTCACCGTCGGCGCCGTCACCAGTTCGTCGGCGCCGACGGCATCGCGCGATCACCCCGCCCCCGACCGGGAAGCGGCTCCGTCGGTGCTGCGTACCCAGCAGCCGCCTAAAACGTTCCAGCGCTCGCACCGGAAAGTCGGCTATCGGAGGGCCCAGCCATCAGCCTTGTGGGTCAGAGTCGGTAACAAAGAGGTACCAGACTTTAAAATATCAATGGGACATCAGCAGGAAGTGATGGCGAGCGAACTTTGCGACCTGGATACGAAGCAGACCGTGCTGGTCCGCTCGGCGTTCGACAACACCAACATCACGAACACGTCTGGCTACAGCAGCTGCAGCATGGACTGCAGTGGCATCGACTGGCAGCCCAGTTACTCGCAGTGCTACACGCCTCCGGGGCACCCGACTCAGACGATGCCGCAGTTTCCCAACGCTCCCATCACGCCGGAGCAGGGCGGCGACTACAAGCGACCGCTGCAGTGCGCGGCCAGCCAGCCGCCGGCCGGCATAGTGGCTCAGCCGTGCCGGCCGGACGGAGACGCCTCCAGTCTGATGTGGCTGCTCGACTACCGCTTAGACCATCTGCTGGAGCCGGCACAGGAGTCCTCTCCCCAGGCGCCGCCGCCCCAGCAGCCGCCGCCGGCGACGGCGAGCAGGCTGCGGGAGCAAGCTCGGCCGCCACCGCCACCGCCGCAGCCGCAACCGCAGCAGCAGCCACAGCAGCAGTCGCAGCAGCCGCAACAGCAACAGCAGCAGCAGCAGCAGCAGCTGCAGCCGCAGCCGCAGCCGCAGTCCCAGCCCGATCCTGTAGCGCTGGAGGAAACCACGTACTCAGGCTGGTGCCAGAGATCTGCCGACTGCGGTCCCTCCGAGAGGAAGTGCGAGCAAGACTTCAGAGCTACACAGGACATGCTACGGCAGCAAGGTAATTATACAGGATAACATTTTGTCTTTTCTTGAAACCATTTAAGCGTATTTAATCATATCAGTTCAGATCATTTCTGCCTTATTTTGATTTAGGTAATTCCTTCCGATTCAATAAGACTTTGTTCTGTTTCGCTTACCCAAAGGTAGGTTTGGCTTACCCAAATCGCTTACTGCTACGGATGCGAAATTTGCGTGAAATTGAGTTGGAATTCTCACAGCATATCGTTTTTTTCATTTTTTATATTGTCATGTATTCTAAGCAGTTGCACTCAACCGTGAGTGCTAGCAATGGTAACACATTTGTCAGGTTTGGTGGGACTACCGGGCTGCAAGGATTGCCTATTCATCGGTATACAATTGCAACTATATAGGCGCACGAAATCGGCCGCTATGATAGAATGGTGTCGATCAGACTACAAGTATTTTCTACAGCTTCATTGGAGGGAGCTCGTTCGTGCTCGGTTAACTTGAATATTAGGTTGTGAATGGTTTGAATTAAAATAGATAAATTGTTTGCTTGCTCATTCGTCGGTGCCATATTACTGAAACAGGCACTGTTTCGTCTGTATCCAACTTTGCCACGGAAATACGCCTCGCGTCTGGTTTTCGCTTCCGGCGTGTGAAATGCTTTCCGTACATTTACAGGCTACTACGCGAACTCGACGACGAAGCCTCCGTTCACGTACACGGAGCTGATCGAACAGGCCATGCTGGAGGAGGGCGAACTGACCGTGTCCGGCATCTACAAGTGGATCACGTAAGTCATGAAATTGCGATGCATTTTCGGCCAAAATCATTTGAACACATAATGGTGTTACATCTGTTCATTTTCTTGTTCGTGCTTTAGACGTGAATCGTGCAGTCGTCATTTGAAGGTAGTTTGGTCTCGGACACTTTAAACTTTTAGGGGGAAACTGCCCATTCTTGCGCTTAACTTTTTTTTTGCGCGTGAAATAACCTAGGAAATCCGATAACTAAAACTATATAAACGGGGGAGCGGGTTCAGACGGTAAGTACAATAGAACATAAGGTACGCGTATATCGAATGAAAGTATGGGAAAAGAGCTTAAGATTTCTGCAACTTAAGTATCATTGGTTTTGTAGGTATAAATTATCTATGTATTATTTAATCTGTTGGTTGGACTCGTGATGGATCGGTTTTTGATAAAAGACGCATTTATGCAGAATGCCTGGAGGGCAATAAGTTTGTTTTACCCTGCGTCCGTCTTTCTCTGATTACGTCGTCCTTGTAATGTTGGGTCTGTATTATTGATAGCTGGTATCCAGTTAGATATCAAAACAGCAAATCGAATTTCAATTATCTCCCTTTTTGCTTATGTATTTATTACTCCGGGCAGTTTACTTTTATTATAGTCTGTTCCACATGAAGCTTGCGGTCGGAGTTCCTTCAGCAGTTTGCGCCTCCGTTTAATAGTTTGCGTCTTTGAATGCAGGAGCTGTATATACAGAAATTATGCACTGCTTTCAGCAGCGCACTTCGGCCGCAAGCTTGACATAGAACAGAGTATAGCTAAATGTAAGAGGGCCTGGTAAAAACCTTCGCGATTCTCGTGAAAGCCGCGAGAAACATGGACTTTCGATAAAAATAGTTGTAAGTGCTCACTCGGCAGCATACGAGGCAACATCAGAATTATATGCTAGCCGTATTGCGTCTCCCCAGCACCACTTGATTTGCACGTGCTGGTTTGCAGCTGTTGCTGCTGCCAAACTAATTACATTTGAGCTGAAACGTGCCAACTTTAAATGTTTATTGAACTGACAATGAAGTGCCCAGGAAGTACTTCAACTAAACGAGTTTGGTGCTCTCGCTGCATTTATGCCCGCAGGAGGCGCTAATTTAAGCTAGTATTTCTGCATTAAGTTACTGTGCGATGGCAAGTGCCAACTACCGCATAAATGACCAAAGTGCCAAAGTTGGAACGTTATAACTTCTCTGTTAAAATTGATGGCTGCTTTGTCAGATATTTCATTTTAAGTTTTTCACGACATTTTATTCCACCCGAGTTATGTAAATGAAGTGTTTTTCTGGTAGATATTTTCGGTGCTCGCGTTATCGAATTTTTGCAAGATTTCTTTGAGTTTTGTATATTTGGTGTAGCTGGCACCCTTCTAAAACAAATGGTATCAACTTACCTAATGTGTTGCTGTTACTCTGCTCTGGCCATCTTCTGTAATGCATTATTAACAACATTAGGTTGGACGTCTTAAACAAATCATTCAGTTACGTTCTTGGATCAAACTAGACGTTGATAAACTGTATTTCATTGGCCCACCTCCTGTGATCTACATTAGTATCTGCCGCGGCTGCTTTGTTGGCCGCGCGCGGTATTGTTGTTCCGATGGACACCGATCGGGTCCGTCCACCATCAGCAGCGACTGGTAGCCAGACACCCCGGCGATCCGTCACAATGATCCGTTTTTAATGGATGACTGCGTCTATCGGTAACTCAGTCAAAGGCCAGCAGTTGGAAGGTTAATTGGGATAATAGCCGAGGCTCACTGAAGGCAGATGGTCCGTCCGGTTATCGGACCTTTCCACTGCAAACGGCACCGATCGGCGTCCATCATCTCATGACGGCTTTTGTAAGGGAGCGGGTAGCGCTGGGCACAAAGTCAACGAAAAGCTATTACTGTGCCTCGCCTGGCCATCACGCGAGGCACTCTGCTCACTGACGTATGACTCCTGATTAGCCGTGATCTTACCTTTGCTAACGTTTTTAGGCAAACAACCCATCAATCATGCTTCAGTGGCGATGTTTCATTTCAGTTTTTGTCCAGAATGTCGCATCAAGCGCATTACACTCGTCCCATAAATACAGAGCACCCTGTTCGGAGTTAATAACTACAGCGCTCCCCCAGCTCGAGTCCATTTCGGTTGGAAAAGTTGGTGGCAGCCGGCGGTGCGTCCGTGGGTTTAAAGCGCATCGCGGTCCGATATTAAAATGAGCTGGCCGTGGGGACAGGACACGCGCGGCGCCGTGCCCCGTCAGCCGCCGGTGCGGTTCCCACGCCGGGGGTGGTGGCCGGTGGGGCGGCCGGCGGGCCCGCGGCGCGTGACACAGCCTGCGGCCGACCCCCGCGGCGCTGCGCGTGATTGACGCCGCGGGCGGTCGGCCGGCGCCGGCGGCGGGGGCGGCGGCCGCTGGTGTTGTCCTGTTGTGGTCGGCTGCAGTTACTGTTCAGCCGACCTGGGCCGCCGCTGCCGGTGTGTGCTCGGTGCGACGGCCGGTATTGCCGACACGGGTCTGTTACATCCAACGTGGAGTTTGCACCATGTCTCGGTACTGCAGCAGTATGCCAGCATAGCCATATTGCCATTTGCCATTTGCCGTTTGGGATTCGCCATTTGCGCCATTTGGGGTTTGAACTTTGATACTTGCCAGGTGTTGGTCGTTCTATCACTACCAGGGTTCATTATCGTGCTCCAGACCGGCACCGAGGCGTGTCTCGCCCCAGCTCAAAAAGGGTGATTTTTCTCGCGATGTGGTCAGTGTGCGACAGGTGCATGTGAGGTGGCAGTACGACAAACAGGGGTCGACGCGATGAACGCCCTATCTGCGCGATTAAAAACGGACACACGCCCGCGATAAATCTACCACTATGGGAGTGTTTTTGCCAGTTTGCTCACGGGTAGCACCATGTGTTCAGGTGAAAATATGACCATATCCGATTGCTCGCACTAGGCCCGGTCGTTATTAACAGCTCAGATTGAAATTGGAGCTCATTTTCTGACCGTGTAAACAATGTCCCTGCAGCCAATATCGCGTAACGGCGGCGTTCGGTGTTAACTAACTGCCGCGGGCGCCGCTGCAGTTTTACGGACATTGGTCCGCGCACCAGGTGTTGGCCGTTTCACACCGCGCGCGTACGGGGGAGTCTGTGGGCCGCCGATCGGGGGCGGAGGCGGCTTCACACGGCGCCGCCGGCCCGGCCGGAGGTCCGTGATTGCTGCCGGCGGCCGCCCGCCGATAACCGTCGCTAACCGTGCGGTAACCGGACGGTCACCCGGTGGTTACGGCGCGCCACCGGTGATTTGATGGGCGGGCGGTGACTCTGTTTGTTTTGCGGTCGGAGTCGGCCGGCTGTGGCGATGGAGCTGTCGCCGCTCGGGATCACGACCCCCGCCCCGTCCCGCCCCCGGCACCCCTGTCCCCTGTCTACCCGGACCGCCCCCGTGGCGCGACGGCATGGCGTGTCACCCCGTGTCCGGGCGAACTCAAAAACGGTCACGCGCCTGCGTCGGCCGCCGCCCGGGCCGTGGCACGTGCGCCACGAAATTAGGGGCCGCGCCGCTCTCCGCGCTCGACCGCAGCAGCCGTCACTGAGCGGCCGCCAGCGCGGTGTTTGTCGGTAATTAAAACGGCGGTCCGACGGACAATACAAGATTAATGCCCCCGGCGCACCGCCTTGAGCCGTGTGTCAGAGCGCAGATTGAGGCGGCGTGGCCCGCGTCAGACGCACGTCGGAGCTGGCACGCACCCCGAGGGCTGTGCGCGAGCCCTACCGTGGGCCGCTCGTCTGAAATCATTTGAATATTCCCACCAAGTGGCTTATTCGAAAACATTCGTTGCTTCCATGCCCGTAGCCAAAATTGTCCAGGAAGTATCCAATTTTGCTCAGATATAGACCTAAACATATTTTACCTATGGAGGTGCTATTTACGGACATTTCAAGCTTAAAAGCTCTTGGCTACGTCCCTACCTAGCCAGGGGTGGGGGGGGGGGAAATTCTGAAGTCGGGAACACTTCAGGTAGTCTTTTTTTTTTGTTTTAGAATATTGTCCATTGTCCAATAGCCATCCCTTCTGACGGTTAAATTCATGAGCGTGGGTTGTACCCCATTCTGCCACGATCATCCATTTTGTGTTGAGCCAGCTAAGTTCACTTGACTTTTACAGCATTTTAATGCTGGAAACTTTCCACCGTTGACGAAGCTGCGCAACTTTCCACATTTCCACTAATGGAAGTAACTTTTGTTGACTTTGTGCTCTTCATATAGTGAGCTCCTATTTTTAGTCGTATGTTGGCGCGTCCAGATGCTAAAAGATGTGAGCAATAGTGCAGTCATTTTTCATTGAAGACGTTTAGAAGCCTCCTCAGGGCTCCTCTAGTAGATGACAGATTTGATTGGGACTTCATTACCAATTCTTATCAAAATATGTACATTAACTAACTATTTGCATGCTTAGATGCGTGCGTGACGCCATTATGTAACTGTTACAGAAGATTCAGATGAGCCAATAATGCCTTACTCTAATATGCATGAGCACATTCAGCCCAGATCAGATGAGTCTGAACAGTTTTCCTCTAGTTTCAATCTAGCCAATCTAGTTGGAAATTTTTCAGTCGCACCGCGCTTGCCAGCACGCCTGAGTTAGCCGCCCTCACCATTATGCAGCGCAATACGGTGCCGCCGTGCCCGTGCTATGTGCGCAGCAGCCCCCAGATTGAGAGACGGGCCATATTTCGTGTGTATTTCGCCGAGTGGCTGCGGCGTCGGCGGGGTCGGGTGCTCGCCGGCAGCGGCGGGGATCGATTGTCGGCCTCGGAGCCGTGTCTGGCGGTACCGTCCGTGCCAGGCGGCAGGGAGAATCTCACCATCGACCGGTGGCAGCCCGGCGGCGGCGGACGGGCCGACCTGATCCGAGCCGCCCGCCCCCTGCACACACACCGTGCACACACACAGACAGGCACACAGTGCAGCGCGCCGGCCACCGGACCTCAGCCGACCGGCTCCTGCACACAATAGCCGGCCGTCGACCGCCATTAGCCCTGATTGATTCCCAGGTGTCGACTGCAAGAGCGCCATCAATCAGGCAGCGATTTTTAGCGCCGATGTGCCTGCTCCGCTCAGGGTAATGCGTGTCCGTCCGGTCAGCACGGCGGCGGTAATGGGCGCTGCCGACGGTAATGGCGACCGGTTCCGGCGACCGGCACGTGACGTCATCGGTCACACGGGCCGCCCTGATTGTGGCGGACAGCGCGGCGCGTCTAATTTCATTAGCCGACAGGTAATGACCGGCGCTGACACGCGCCGCAGTGCCGCCGGGTGTGAGAAATGTCGCCGCAATGCGGCCGCCGAAGGGGGCTAAGTGATGTCCCTTTGGGGAGCGGTTTCCGGGTGGTCGTTTGCACTTTGTCACTCGGTGCTGCCTGGTGGTGGTCGGACGGTGCGCTGTGGTTTTGTTGGATGTAGTTGTCACGTGTCATGTTCCTGGTAGGGGGTCAAACTCACCAGTGAATCATAGAGGCAATGCCTGGTGATCACGACAAAACGATAATTTGTTTCCTGCGACTGAATTTTGTCAACTTTTGGGGTGAACGATAGCTCAGGTAACATGTCAAATATGTGAGTTTGAGTTTCCCGGCTTAACGACTAGTAAATCGCTCTACGATTTAATGAGGCTCACGTTCTGGAAACCAATATGTCTTCCCTTATTTTACGAAGCGCCAGGCCTTTCGTTTAGTCACAGTGGTCACAGTTTGAGCAACATGAAGGACCGCCTTCCTTTCCAACGTTCATTGCGCTCCCCGTATTACTGTAGGGCACTTCGGATGTATGAAACAGGACCGAGCGGAAAAGCGCCGAGCCTGTCTCCGACACCCGTTAGTATTCAAACATGTCTGATCCGAGTGCCACCGGGCTAGTTTAGGGTAATGCCACTAATGGCCGGCTGTAAACTGACAGCGGCCGGCCGGCGCCTGGAGCGGCGCGCTGTCCCCCCGGGCGGCGCAGCGTCCCCCTGGCCGGACGCGCGTCACCGGTCGCAGGTAGGCAGCGCCTCAGGTGCTGCGTCACCGCCCCGGCACGGCCGCACGTGCCCGCCTCAGGCGACGCGCCGCTCACGCCCACTGGCCATTGTCACCGGCAGTGCGCTGCGTGCCGTCCGGAAGCGATGCGCCTCCGCCGCCGGCGCGTCCCGCTCGCACCGACAGAATGCAATCGGCGCTTCCATCATCATCGATGTGATTAACGGCCGGCCGGCTTTGTGCTCGCCGCCGATCCCCCAGGAAATTGGAGTAAATAACGGCGCCGGCGGCGGCTCACAAAAACGAGCGTCCACCAATCGACGCCTTTATGACTGCGACAAATGAGTGCCGCTGTGGAGCGATTTATGACCCGCGCTCTGAGGACCGTGTGGAGTGTGTTGTCTCCGCTCGTACCCTTCTGCGTGCTGGGCGCGCCGGCCAAACAGCGGCTCGACGGGCGGCCGGCGGAGCGCAGCCCGTCCCGGCGGCGGCAGGTGCGGTCCCCGGGCACGTGGTGCGTTCCCAATACCGGCCGCACCGGGCGCCTTTATGTGGGAAGTTGGTCGGCCCGGCTTGATACACGGCTAATCAAAACAGAGCGCTGGCGGACCGGCCCTGACGGACGGCAGTCGCTGCAGCCGCGATTAAACGTCAGACGGCACGCGACCGGTGCCGACTGAAACCGAGACGGAGACCGAGACGGTATCGGATTGGGATTGTTTCCCCTTGCTCAGTTGACCCCGTCCTGACGACTGGATGCGGCAGTCAAAAACAGCCTTCGGGGGCTAACTAAATTCCAGTCGTGGGAGCTACTGAAAATACTCGGGCGCTGAGGTTTGATGTGCGAGTTCGGCGGCACAGTATGAGTTCAGGCGCAGACTCCTGGTGCCATCTAGTGAGTGAATGACAAGTTGATGCTTTTGAAGCTATGTTGCACGTCACGAACAGTGCATTTTAGGTGTGGTGCTGGCTAATTAAAAATGCAGTTGCTTTATTTGAACAGCACAAATACCGGCAACACATGCTTCTCTCAATGCTTTCGCACTAATGCTTTGTTACTCCTCTCAATGCTTTTCATATAGTAACATCGTCGTACTCGTATCTACAATGGCAGTCATCCCGATCACCGCGTTTGCATTTGCAGCCGCCGTTCCGTTTCCCCGTGTCGCGACGTCACGCGTAGCAGCCACCCCGCCCGCAGTGATGGGGTCACGGCGCGTCTGTGTTCGACGTTCGTGTCTGCCCACGGCACAGCGTGTCGGCGCAGTGATGCATCACAGCTCATTGACGTGGGACGGTGAACGGCCCTGTGCGCGCCCGGCGGGAGGCGCTCGGACACGGCCGGCGCGACACGGTCCGCCATTGTCACCGCCACCGCCGCCTGATGACGATACGGCATCGATCTCGGTGCTTCATCCACTGGCGCCGTCCGCCGACCCGGCGATAAAACCGAGCTGCATGATCGGGGACCGTGTACGTTCCCGGCTAATGTAGCTAATGTCGAAAAGTTGCGCCGTATTATGACGGACGGTGGGCGGGCAGGCGGCCGCCCGTCCCCGGCTCACTGCGCGGTAACTTTGCCATGGGAAAATGAGCGCGCCGCCCATGTGGCGGAGGTCGTTTTCATTTGCACCTGACGTTGGTGGCCATTTGGAGCTGTCCGTCGCCGTATAACGATGATACACGTGTGTTCAGTGAGTGACAAGTGATGTTCCGGCTCATAGACTGGTTAGCGGGAACTCAGTTGCAGGCGGTGCCTGTGAATCACCCGAGGGGAGGCAGGGGTACCGCGTGTGGACAGCGGACATTGTCCGCCGCCGGGCCGGATGTCCGGCGTCCGCAGCCAGCCGGCCGGTTCATCTGAGAGCCCACCGGCCACGCGGGGAGGGGAGCGGACTCTGCCGGTGTGTGCAGCGATATGACGCCCGCTCAAATGGGCCCCGGCACGGAACGGCCGACACCTGCCGCCCGACCGGCGTCAATTGGAGCCGTTTGAGGCGTATTGTACCGGTAATGGGCGGACCCCTGATTCGAACCAGTCGCTGCCGGTAGCGAATCTGACCGTACCAAGCAGTGAGTGACACCCGAGCCCAGTGTCGCCAGCCAGTGATGGATAGGGCCATGGACCGTGCATTACACTGGTTCGGTGTGAATGGGGATCGGTTCCACGGATTTTTTTTTTTAATAATTCAGGAAAGCAAACATACTTTTATAGGACGGTGTTCGGTAATACTTCTTCTTAAACTATTGGGTCACTGGAAATAGTGACTTGGAGCAAATCAGACACGTGGCTTCGAGTTGCGCTTCCCCTACGATTATGTGATGTTACTTTTGACAGCAAATGTGCGAAATCGGCAATCCTCATTAGTGGTTTTCGCTTTTCAAATCCTACCCCACCCCCAGCCGGCCCGCGGCTGCCGGAAGTCGACTCCTGTCAACGCAGCTGAGGAATTCGAGCCAGCGCGAGACATGCAACAGTCTCATTACGATTCGCGGGGGCGAACAAACTGGTGCACAATGGACCGCATACGTCATCCTTTTTAGCCGGCGGCGCTGCTCGCAGGCGTTCTGTTCGCAATGACAATCGTTAGGAGTGCTCATTGTCTGTGTGGCAGGTATGCGGCGGCGACAGTCCGGCACGGCACTGGTCACGGGTCGTTAGATTTGACGCCGCCCTCTCAGACAATGAATGTGTGTGGTCGCGCGACAAATTAGAGCGCCCTCACTCGCACTGAGTGATTTTGGCGTGATGATGTATGGTGAAGTAAAGGGGTTGTGGCGTAATTATTTATTGGATGGTTGGCAGGAATGCAAATAACGCAACGTCATGAAGTTAATAGAGATATGCATGCTAACATGAACGTTTGTATTTATTTTCAGGAGTCACTTCGGGTTCTACAAATCGTGCGACGACCGCTGGAAGAACAGCGTGCGCCACAACCTCTCCATGAACCCGTACTTCCGCAAGGGCGACAAGGCCAAGGGCGGCTCGGGTCACCTCTGGATGCTAGCCAACGTGGAGGGACGGCGCGTGCGGCGGAACAACGTGGCCGCTCGCATGGGCCGGCCGAATAGGAAGGTGGGCGGCCGGCGCGGCGGCAGACCCGGCCCGCACTCTGCCTCGTCCGTGTCCTTGGTAAAGCCCGTCCCGCTCCGTCCTGGATCATACCCTCACACATGCAGCTGACCGAAGATAGAGTCGTCCTGTCCGCTATTCCTAGCTTTTTGCTCTTCTGATTGCCAGGGAGTGGGAGGAAATGTAATCTACTGTTGAACGTTGACCGTCAGATTTTGTTAACTGTTGAAAAGAGCTCAGTTTCAATGTTTCTTTTTTTTTGCGTATAACTTGTAAGGATGATTGCATTTTTTTTTTTGTTAGCTCCATTTTCATTGGTGCTATCTCTCTTGCGTGATCTATAGTAATAAGCTACGAAAACCAGCTCATGCTGGTTATTGTATCCGATCTGTCCCGGTATGGACATGTCGCTGACCACAGCCACCGTCTCTTCCCAGCTGAGTGATGACGTCGAGTTTGACCTGTGTGACGACATCCCCTCCCCTGCTAACGACATCTGGCTGAGCTCTGCTGCCGAGAACAAGGAGAACATGCCCATCACGGGAGAGTACAGCATCGAGTACCTCGACTACGTGCCCGATCAGGTGAGAGAGTCCCGCCGACCGGCCTGGGCTGCCGCTGAACATTGAACATTGATAGTGTTGTGTAGTCAAAGCGTTTGGTGACCTGTTGAGAACATGGTGACTGGAGCAGATGCTTTTCTTGTGCGGAGGCTTTGGGAACCCAACCACGACATTTGCAAGCTGTAGAAGAGAACGGCAGCCCCCGTAAGGATTTGGGTGTCGGGTAGAGCCTGGTCTGCGCTGTTACCCTAACCCCGTCGCGTGTCTGATGTGCTCGTGCCGTTCTATCCCGGACCCACACAGCTGATAACGGGGACGCTGCTGCAGACGGCGCCGCCGACCACCTTCACTCTGGAGGAGTCTGCCGACCGCATCCTCAGCGGTACCAACAGCCACGTGGAGGTGCAGTTCATCACGCCCGTCCGGAACGACAGGATCGCCCAGGGTGAGATGGACGGTCAGAGAGCTGGAGTTTTATGGAGGGGAGGGGAGTAACCGAGGCTGTTGCGTGCTGGGAACTAACAAGGGTGGGCGCATCAGCTAACCCCATACATATCAAAACCATCTGTTGTTAATTACCGTATCATGTGCAGCTGAATTATGTTTTTGATACACCTACTGCGTGTAATAACCGGCGCATTTTCTGTCTGTCAGATGCCATGCTGGTCGACTACCCGACTCTGGACGTGGCGATGCAGTCGTGAGGGCCGCGCTCCCTCCAGCGTGTCCTCTCGGGCCACCCCTGCCTTGTACAGCCCACCTGACGCCGAGCCGCCCGCGCCGGCGCCCCAGCCCTGTCCAGTCCGTCCAGTGAGAGTCCAGGCGCCGCGCCGCTGCCGCTGCTGCTCCGTCCATACTGTGCTGTGTGTGAATCTGAGAAGTTTGCGTGAGCTTGAACTCCGTCCATCGCAACCCTCTCCGTCCGAGTCTCGCTCCCTCAAGAGACTAAGCCGCAAGGTCCGCCACACTGCGGACTTTGGATGGCACGGAGCTGGAGCGTTTGACTCAATTTGTGTATGACCAGGGTAACTCCACCAAAGCTCCTGGGCAAGTGGCAATGCGTTTGTGTATCGTCCGAGGCGGTTACTTGGCTCTCCTGTCTCGATGTTTGGCAGAGTACCACGACCGTCCGCGAGGGCTGGTGTCGGGGAAGCCGGGACTTGTCTCCTCGGAAGTGCGGATGTTCAGATGTCTTTGAAACGTGTTGCCTTGATCGTTGCGGCATGATTGCGACATGCAATCGAATCAACAGTGGCCTTTCCGTCTTGGAGCTGTCGTGCTTCTTCGATGCTCATGTTTTACCGGTAGAAAATATCCCAGATACCACATTTTAACAGGGTTTGTTGCAGTCTTAGTAGCAGACATTGCTTAGATTCGATCTCGTTTACACTTTCCTTGATTGCACGCGTTGTAAATATTAGACATAGTTATAAGATAACGATTTGTTGTTGGCTTTTTAATTTCTCTTAAAATGTACATAGGCATGCTTTTAATCAAAGCAATGCCGAAAATGGCGAGTGTGCTTAATATTTCAGCGGTCGTAAAAGCTTGTCGAATTATGGCGTAATGTGCCTCTGAGCTATCGCGTCCTATCATACAACCGTCTGCGAGTCGGTGATCTCACTGACGGCTGTGTAAAGTTCCGTTCTGATCTCCCATCCGGCCACTCTGCGCGACTTTTCTATCGCCGTCTCACTATAATGCCACGCTCCGCTGACTCGGACAGGAACGTGCGCTGTGTGTATATTACGAACCCGCCGGGCGTTATTTATAAACATTGTCGATCCGTGCCGCCGCATTTATTCACATTAGACATGTTCATTAGCGTTGCATGCTCGGTAGTTGTTTCTTTTTTAATCGAAATATAACCATCGACATCACTTGCTGTTTGGCTTGATATTCGCGGCATACGGAACTTGAATGGTTGTACTAACATAGTGAGTAGTGACGATCTGAAGTTATTACGCGGAGATCAGAAGCTTTGTGCTTGATGGTGCGATGATTGTCTTATGGTCCCTGTTACCATTTGCGTGGAATGAAGCGTCGAACACCTATCCCTATATCGAAACGTAGTCTGGGATCTAAATCTAATGAACGTCACCTCCGATATCTTCCATTGCTCATTTCCACCTAAAGTAGCCACTGGATCACATATGACGAAGACAGCAGGAATGAAAGTCAAAATCTATGTGGCGTTACAAATGGACAACATCTCGCACATTACGAATCAGACCACATATTCTTGTCCAGCTTGCCGGTGTCTAAAAACGAATAACCCCGCATAAATCTCACAAACACGCTATAAAACTCAACGGCGTATAAAAGGTATTTTTAGTGCCGTATGCGTGTATAGCTCGCCAGCAAACATCTTTTTCGTTAGGAGAGGACTGGGAAGAGTTGGGGCCTAGTAGAGCAGCAGTGAGGGATCAATTTCGTCCTTCCACGCGTACAGGCCGCCGCGGATGTCACGAACCTCCAGTTCGGGGGTCTCCGTTAGATGTCTCTGCAGGAGCTGAGCGGCGCGCTGAGAGTCGTTACCGCGTCTGCACAGGGTCACCACTGAAATAGAGACGGGGGTTAGGGCATAATCCTCCGTTCCGTGCTTCTATCCTCAGGATACTGAAATCCTTCTCCTCCACGCCGCAACCCCCCTCCGGGCTGGACAGGCAACTTTATCTCATGCGGGCTGCTCCCTTGGAGCGGCACCGCTGCTCCCGAGGGAGCGCACCCCGTAGCCGGGTGCAGTGAGTGCCTTGGGGCTGGGTGGCCTGTCCTCTGGACGGGCTCAGCCCCGGCGACTCACTAGGGTGCCTGCCCAGACCAATGTCTCCCCCTATATCCTATCATCCTCCCGGCTCTGAAATGGTCTCATTGGACCGAAAGGGCCTAACCCAACAAAACAAACAAACAAAGGGCATAAACGTATAGAAGTGGCCAAATTAGGCGAATGGGACCAAAGAGTGCCAACAGCTGAAGATCATTACCGGTGGGTATCAAGGGGTTTAAAGTCTGGTGTAGCGATTAGGGTCGAGGATTACGACAAGGTAAGCGAAAAAGGGACTCCGGCTCCTGGGAAAGCCAGATGTAGATAATAACTAATAGCTTTGTTAGCTTCATGCTTCACGCCTCATGCCCAGGACGGGACGCCAATATCCCATTACAGTCACTTCAAATGGTCAATACCCACATATACTTGCCGACTGACCCATCCCACATTTAAACCGCTTCTTCAATATCTCAACCGTGACCCGCTCAAACTCACCTGTGACCCGTCCATCCCCCGCGCGGCGCTCCAGGGCCGCCTGCCGCACAGTCTCCCGGCCCTCCACCGTCCGCAGCGCCCCTAGCGGCACGTTCAGAACTTGAAACTCGTCCGGCAGTCGGCAGATGTCGAGCTCATTGGCCTGGCGCACGTCGACCAGCAGTTTAGGCGTGCTGAGATGCTGGTACTGCTGAGGCGTGAGCCGCTCCTCGGCAGCCAGCAGACGCACGCCGGAGTCCTGAACGTGGGAACAGCGGAACAATCATGAATCGTGAGCAAGTGTAGAGTGAAGCAGGCATACCAGACGGCCAAGCTTCGTTGGCGCAAGGTCCAGAAGAACGTGCGTCGCTGGAAATTCGCGACCGAAACGCGTTATTATGATGGCTAATCAATAGGATATACCCTTTACGATGACAATGAATAGGTTTCTACAAACGTCAGCATACAAAACAAGTGATGATTATGAGTTCATCGGGCCTACCTGCTAGGAATATTGCCTTCATTTCCAGCCGATAGCCGGTCATGCTTTCCTAACCATGTCTGCCACCAGCAGTCCATTACCTTGTCGGTAGGCGCGGCTCCGCAGAACTGTACGTAATCCTCCAGTTCGGTGACGGTCGGCTGGTCGCCGCACACGGCACAGTCGGGCTGTCGGCCGCGCAGTCTCACCGACCGGAACGCTCCCAGTAGACCGTCAAACAGAAGGAGGGTCTGCGCGTGCGCCGCGCGCAGGCCGGGTATCAGCAGGCGGACCGCCTCCAGGGCCTGCAGAGAGCCGATGATTCCTGGCACCACGCCCAGAACGCCGCCGTCTGAACAGTTGGTGACGGTCTCTGGTGGGGGCGGCCGAGGGTACAGGCAGCGGTAGCACGGACCGCCCGCGTAGCTGGAAAAGGTGGAAAAGGGGTGGGAAAAGGTCAGTGTGCAGTGAGCTGCGAACAAAGTGCCGTGCTGAGGACGAGGGTGAAGCGAGGGAAAAATGGTAAAAACATAGTAAGTAGGTATAACTGAACAGGGGACAATTAGAGAAATAGTTGTTCGCATCACACCACAGCATGCATTTGCACTGTAGCCATTGCCAGGGCTTACCCCTAATTGCATCCCCAACCCACTCACTTGTACGTGGTGAGCTGTCCCTCGAAGCGCAGCGCGCTGCCAGAGACCAGCGGCCGGCCGGCCAGCACACAGGCGTCGTTCAGTAGGTAGCGGGTGGCTACGTTATCGGTACAGTCGAGCACCACCTCGTACCGCTGCACCCAGCTGCAGGGCGTTGGTGCTGTCCAGAGCCAGGTGGTGCGGCACCACACAGACATGGTGGTTCAGTCTGTAGATAGAGGAATGTGTCCGTATGACATGAGCCATAAATTGAGGACTCATAAGAAACATGGTCAGGTGATTACCAGACACTGAATATACAAAAATAAACAATCAGACCATCCCAATATCAGGCTGGACTCACCCAGCAACTGCCTCTCCAATGGAGTTGGCCTTTGGGGTGTTAATCCGTCCCTCAGTGTGCAAAATCTGCCGATGGAGGTTACTGACCTCCACCACATCATGGTCCACCACACCAAGGGTACCTGGAACAGTGTCCTGTCAGACTACAACAGTCAGGGACAAAGAAAGCCATCAAGCATGCACTACCTACCTACATGAGGTTGAAATAGTTAAGGCTAACCATAGGTCACAAACTCATATCATCATTGAGCTATATTTCTCACTGTAAGAAATCCTATCAGGCTATAACATACCCACACCAGCTGCTGCCAGGTAGATTGCCGCTGGACAGCCAAGACCGCCAGCTCCCACAATCAGTATGGATGAATTCTTCAGCTTCTCCTGACCTGTAAAAGAGTATTGACAATTTAAGGTAAATTGAAATAGGAAAACATTAAAAACGACAATCAAACAATGGCTGATGAAATATTTACATCTTTTTAACCAAACCAAGTTGTGCCTAAGTTAAGCCTTACACCTTGGCCTTACCCCAGTTGGCTCCTCTAAAATCTGAATGAATAGATTTGTCTCATAGACCTTGCGTCTGAAGAAGAGTTTTGTAAAGCAGAGGATTTGCAAAGAAGGGCCAATTAATAATTCAAATTCTATTCATGCACAGATGTTGTCAGATTACTGATAAGGTAGGGCGGCAACATTAGGCGACATTAGAAAATGTGTGATTTGATAGGCAAAGGCCTTAAAAATCACCCGCCTTCGTGTAGCTGCGAGACTCAAGCATTCAATGTTAACACAGCCCATATGTATGCGATAGCCAACATCACCAAGGCCATACTTTGGTAGCTGTGATTGTACTGTATGAATATATGAATACATGAAGGAGAAAACAAAGGTTGAGGAAAACTTGAGCTTGAGCTTGAGCTGAAAACATCCTGGACTTACCCTCCCGCCCTATTTCAGGCAGGATCATTTGCCGACTATAACGAAAAGCCTCATCTTGAGAAAGACCTTCCTGAAACTCCGATTTTTCTACTGTATCCGCCATTACTTGAAACAAATTAACAAAACAGCTGGCATAAGTTACAACTCCGTAGCGGGCGCAGCGCTAACGACGCCCTTCCTTGTTTTCGTTTGTTTACATTCTCTCACGAATGTCTTTGCTGCGTCATTCATGCTTCAAAAATAAAAGGCTCTTGATATTAGTTATCATTATCGGCACTAGATGTCACTGTAAGCCGCGGTGTTTGATAGCAGCGACCCCTTACAAATATTATAGTAACTACTAACTAATAGTTTGTAGATGTCTCTGTGTTCTGCAAGCTGGCCTCTGAGAGCCTCTGAGGCCTCAGCCCAGATCGAGTCCCCTCCCTTTCGGCTGTCATCCGTCCTCCCCGTATTTTGTCTGTCGCTCTCCAGTCTCCACGCTCAGTATCAGCCCGAATCCTCCTGGATGAATAATCAGTTTGCTTTTTCCAGGCTGACGGTCAGCAATGCAATGACCAGCAGTGGCCATGTTAGCTGAGCTCGGTTCCAACATGCTAGCATTCAATGCCAAACCTTATATCTTCCGGGGTGAGACGACCGTTTGAGCGGCTGGATGGTCTATCCAGATCACTCCTGTCCTTACAGCGTGGGCCTGCCCGCTGTAGCGTGGCAGTCCGTACCCCGCGGTCGCCTCGGCCCAATAGCTGTTTCCATCTCACGGACGCAGCCCTAAGATCAGAGATGCTCTCAACTGACATTTGACGGAAAGGGCCAAACTCCACATGTGGAGTTAGGCACCATCCCCACATAAAGTTGCTGGGCTGCAAAATGTTCTGCTAAGTGCTAGCAAGACGTTACGAGTAGCATGCCTATTGCTTTATATGCTTGACAATAGCGTTATCTCCCCAGGCCTCCGAATTAATATCCGTTGTGATTTATGCGAACGAATAATGATCGCCAATGGGCAATGATGCCTCTCAGACAATGACGTCGGACATTCATTCTTAGGGTGATGTGGTATGTGACTGAAGACGCATCCTCTCTACCAAGCTGGAGAGAGGGATCAGGGAAGATAGAGCAAAAGAGGAATGTCCGGTTCTTAAGCGAATGTCCTTTCTTCAATGCAACACTGTTAAAATACTCATCCCTCTCACCCCCTATGCGTATCATCGGCCTCTTTATGACGTCACCAGTGACGCTCACAGCACAAGTTATGTCCACGGCCGGCTCCAGAATAACAGAGATCGCTGGCGGTGGCGCTGAATCCGCGCCTTAATTAAGCCCTCCATATTTCATCTCGCGCGCGGACGCTAAGTCGCATTGTGGCGCGCCGCGATCCGCCAGCGCGCCATTCAGACGCTCGTTTGGCGCGCCGCTTCTTAGCCCCGCTAATGGTGCTACAAATAATGCGACCGTTTGACTTAATTCCATCTCACGACGCCAGTAATCCGCGCAGCCTCAGCCGCGTCACATTGTGCGCCTGCAGGTGCGACAAAGGCGGCGCGGTCGCCACAAAGCCGGCGCAGTCGCTCGTGTCACTGCGTCGGTCGTCGGCACCGCCGCTCCGGTATTGTGCGCTGTCACGTGACCAGGGTGAGATGAGACGTGGGACGGCGGTGAACGGTCACCTGACAGAATGGGGACTGCAGGCGGAGGGTCCCATGGCAGTGCCAGCAACACTTCCAGTCTGCTTTCTGGTTGTCCGGCACTTGGAACGATGGTTAGCTTTTAAATGCGCCAAATACTCTCCGTTGTGGGATATTCTAACTTATTTAGCTATGCCAAAGTAAATTAGGTACCTTCTGGCTTCATTTCACGCTTTTTATTATCGTGGTCTTCTGTCTTGGTCCATTTTTGTTAACTGATTCGAAGCAAGAAACCAGTAAAACACCTTAGTCAAAAATTCTTATCATAATTCATACGGCTATGATAAATTACAGCCAACAATGTGGCGTTTTATGAATCGATTTTTATAACGTTTCCCTTTGTCATCAGGTCGCCACCTCTGTCCCGGCAGATAGGTAACCAGCTGTGGCGCTACCTGATGTTTGTTCAGAAGACCCGCCTGCACTCCGATCTGAGAACGCCGACTATCACTGAACCAGTTCGAACAGTGAACGGTGGCCGATGGTCTGTTTGCTCAGGTGCGGGCATGGTGCGAACCGCTGTTCGGTACCACACCCCTATGAGACGGATTCACTGGCTCTATGGGCCCTCCGGAGCCACGGGGCCGGGCGGTAGATAGGGAGGAGCAGACGACAATGGGATGGGGTCGGTCGTCGGATGAAGGGGAGGGGAGGGATCGACGCTGAGATCTGAGCTTCTTTGGTGTGGTGGTGGTAGGTTTCGGCCGAGCTAACGAGCTCACCACCCCGCCGATTAATTTTCTCGTGCATGAATCTCGCTACAGTTATTGCTCACCTTTCGTCACCGGTGTGACTTTTTTGTCGGTCGCTAACTTTTAAGCGGCTTCGAAACCGTCAAATAAAGATATTAGAATGTTTCATCAATATTTCAAATCGTTTCTTGGACGAATTAACAGGAAGAATCGCGTTTCGGAAAAATCGAGGCATTTGATTGTGCTTCCTTGTAAAACGAATCTCCAAGATAATTCATCATACCCATTTCTAATGCAATAAAAGAGGCAAGTGCGAACGATCATGTATAAACGCCAGCTATTGTCATCTAAAATTCAGCAGCTGCTGCTAAACTGGTAAAATATTCAAGCCATTGATTGCGGAGATAAATAAAATGAGACGAATTTCTATTTATTTGACATAGGTACCTCAAGTCAAGTTCCCGTTCATATTATTCATGTCGTGAAATCGTTACACCACACTGGCATTCGATTCCAATCATTCACACTCAGTTACCCCTCGAGTCCCACCTCAACAGCAGGCCACATGTAGCAGCTGCTGCCGTCCGCCCTGGTTTGGTAACCCTGTGACGTCATCTGAGGATCCATTGACGTCAATCGTTCACGGTGTGTCGTCCCGGTAACCGCAGAGAGCGCTCTCTGCCCGGTGATAGCCAGCCGCGGACTCGGTCCGGAGCATTCATCTCTCGCCTGGACCTGCCTCTTCTGCCCACACCACACCACCTCCGCGGTCGTATATTTCAGTCCGATGACGACAGTTTCACAGTGTTTCTCCAGCAGTTGGAGGTCCAGTCCATCACCGTAAATCACTCCCGTCTCCGCTGTGTTGTTTGTTGTCGGATGCTCGTCATGCGCTCTATCGACGACTGCCGCCGTCGTTCTCGATGAGCCCCTCCGTCGTTGTCGATGATCTCCTCCGTCGTTGTCGATGACCAACGAAGATGACGTGCATTTATGATTGACTTTGACCTCCATGACAACTTCTTTCCGCCTCTGTATAACCTGCAGGTAACAAGTGCTTCAACAGCAGCCAACACAATACAATCCATAGGATTGTTTTGGATTTTTGAGATTGTCAATCTAAAAAATCCAAAACCTTTCAATGGCCTGGCAACCAGCTGCTGGGAGGCTGCGTAACGCCCCATCTCGCTCTCAGTCTCACCCTCAGCTGACAGCTCGCCGCAGCGTTGTCACTGTGCGGTGGAGGATTTAATGCCTGCAAAGTTGACGTGTGGTGAGCAACATCTCAATCACTGCCAACGGCTGCGGCGGAAGAAGTGGGGACACATCGGCCGAGTTTCCGGCACGGTGGTGATAATCCGATTATGAGACCGCAACGGGACCACAACGGACCACCCACGGACCACAGACGAGCCACACGGGACCACACGAGGGACCACAGTGAGTGACACACTGGATGGAACATATGGATGGCAACGGAGCACAGAAATATCGCTGCAGGACCGATGAAGCTTTAAAGAAACCGTAGAACGAATAGAGTAGAATTCTTGCATAATTGCATTGAGCAAGAAACTTTTTTTTTAAATCTACCTAGCTGCCATTCAACCACCTCAGTCGCCATTTACATTGCAGGTCATCAGCCATGACCATCCACCGTCTACCACTCACCGTCCACCGACCACCATCTTCCACCACCGTCCAGCGTCCAACGTTTACTTCACCGCCCACCGCCCATCGTCCACCGTCCACCATCCACCATCCACCCACCGTCCACCGTCCACCATCCACCGTCTACCGTCCACCGTCCACCGTCCACCGTCCCTCGTCCACCGTCCACCGTCCACCGCCCACCGTCCACCGCCCAACGCTCACCACCACCAGCAGCCGCTAGCTGCTGAGTTGGCAGCTCGGTGAGGCGATGACAGCTGAGTTGGATGGCTGAGATTTGGCTGAGACGCACTGGTGCCGCTGTGACAACCGAAAACAACGATGGCGTCCTTACACAATGCTGACAGCTGATGCATTTAGTTTAGTCTGTAGAATAAGCGTGCGTTTGGGATCCGGATAATCATCAGGGATAATTTTCCGAGATCGCCGGGATCATTCGGTATTTTAGGCTGACACAGTGCACAACGGACATGACAACGAGTAAAAGAGCCATTCGTAAGGCAAAAGCAATCTAAAAATGTGACTACTTGCATAATGGTCATTGGTCACTGTAATACCAAATAATTACCGGTGATCCCGGATAATTATCCCTCATTTTCCAGGTACCGAATACATGCTAAAATAGAACTCATATATGTAGGTACCTATAGTGGGGCAAAGCGGCCACCCGGGGCGAAGCGGCCACCCGGGGCGAAGCGGCCACCCATCGTTTTAGCCCTCCACAGCTGGCGTCAGCTCCGATTTTATATGTTTGTCACTTGTCAGTTATACTTCTCTTCGCGGTCGTCCGAATGAGCCACACCGGGGTTTCTGGCCCTAACTGTACCTAACTGCATTATTTCAGTACCAAAAGTTTTAACAGTTCCAGCTCGTTCAGAATCTTGTTCTAGCTGGATGTCAGCGACGTCCGGGAGACATCCACAAATCACGAGTGATCTCTGTTACCAGAATGGCGAGAATATGGAGGTCATTCTGCAGATCGCTTGCAGATCAACCATTCGGTACGTTCAGCCATCCCGGGTGATCCAGTCGATCAAACAGAACACAAGTCAGAACTCATTCATCCTCCAGAACACATTGCTGAACAGAGCGAGACAGCAGCCGGGGCGGATTGGCAATGCTAGCCTTACA